TAGCAACAAACAGTTCGATTTATTCACTTTAATAATGAGAAAGCGAAACGACGAACGTACACTTTTCACGGGTTTCTCAGCGCTGTTACTTAAGTCAAACGGCATCTCCATAGAAATTGGGTGACTTAAGTAACATCGAAAACTATTTTGATCGGAAGGTGATTACGTCAAAAAGCAATTTGACTGGCAAATAAATTTAAAAATGGGATTTGATCCTATATTCGGACATTATATAGTGTAATAACAGGAGAATCGATTGACACTGATAGCTCGACTTTGTTTACCTTTGTTACATTCGACGTAATGAAAATTTGCTCTTGCAATATTGTTTTAATATTTTTCATTAAAAGCTTACAAAAATTCCATCCTTTGTGAAAATTTCAAGATGGAGAATTCAAAATTAACAAAAATCATTAAACAAGAACTTTTGGACAAATTTAAGAACTTTTTCTTTATAATTTTTTTTTTTTGTAAATTTTTGCGCAGAAAACGATTTTGAAACTTCGAAAAATTATGTTCTGCGTATAATTTTAATAAAAAAAATTGCTAAAAAAAAGTTCAAAAAATATTTAAGAGGGTTAATTTTTGTTACGTAATTTTCAAACACTGGTTTCGTTTTTTACCCAACAATGCTTGAAATGTTTTACCATGCATATTTTTCTTGAAAAGAATATTGTTTTCCTACAATTTTGTCTCGGGCGTCATTTCAATTGGAAATTATGTTTTCAAGGGGAGCAGGATATTTTACCGAAAGACGTTTCGCCGAATGGGTCATTTTGCCAAAGAGGAAGTCATTTTCTTCGGGTTTGAACTTTTCTCAAAGCTCAGTAAATTTTGAAATCAGTCTCGAAAAAATATTAAGAATCCTGATGAATGTGTGTGTCTTAGTAGAATACCCGTATAAAGAGAGAGAAGGATTAGTAATTTCCATTTTATTCCACTACCTTTTTTGCTTATCCTTGACAGATACGCGTATTTCGTCTACAATGTGCAAACTTCTTCAGTGTCTTGTACTAATACTCGACTTCGCAGATTTCATCAAGGATAGCATCAGACGACTATATAGCAAACTGGACATGAAGATTTTGGAATGTTATTCTCTACACCTCAAATTGGCCAAAGAGTATCCAATTAAATTCCAGGAGTTTCTGTCTAGGGCAAATGTAACAGATGAGTGCGAATCGGATAGGACACGGAAGCTGCACGATAGGAAGCTAAACAGACTACGACACGAGTCTCGACGGAGACGGACGACACACCGAACGGGTGAGCAGATCCCATCCACCATCACCACGACGCCGAGGGTTCACTTCATTGATGGGTTGGTTGTGAACCGATCGACGACCGCATTCACCGAAGAACAATTGACACACCTCAACAAAGGGCTAGGATACGCGGTTACAACCAAGCTAGACGTGGAGCAGATCATCATTGACGTAGAAACAGAGATTACCAAGACACTTCCAACATCATCACAGAATACGGTCAGGACTATCACATAGAACATAATCAAGGACGGACAGGAACAAAGTCGCACCAACGAAAAGGAAATTCGGATTGTAAAGGAGCTGAAAAGTAAAGCAGTATGCTATGTGAAAGCAGACAAGGGCAACGCGGTGTTATCATGGACAAGGACGATTACGACAATCAGAACATAGTGACACACGTAAGCACTGAAGGAGTGCAAATCAATATTAGGAGATGAAGCAGATCGTTTACGGGAATCCAATCACATTTTACCCAGGATCACAGGTATCCCCAAAGTCCACAAACCGGGGAATGAAATGCGAGGGATCGTGTCTGCAGTTGGTTTCCCCACCCACAAACTGGCGAAGTGGCTAGTCACACAGTTTCAGAGTATGCCGAATCAGTTCCAGAGTAAAGCAGTTAGTAACACCCTGGAGTTCGCCCAGCAAATACAATCTTCAGGAGACATCAACGAGGACGAGATTATGGTATCTTTCGACGTCACAGCTCTTTATCTCAGCCTACCGGTCAAGGAAGCGATCAACCATTTGGAGGACTGGCTATTAACACAACGAGAGGATGCAGCATGGAGAAACAAGGTTCGGACCGCCTTTGTATGGAAGAGAACTACTTCTCTTTCCGAGGTAACTTCTACAAGCAGACGAAAGGAGTCCCAATGGGAACCATGGCCAACTTGGAGACAATCCTGAAGGAGAAAGGACTATTACCAAACCGTTGGTGGAGGTTTGTTGACGATATCTTCAGCGTAGTTAAACGGGAAGCCCTTCCATAAATTTTAGATGAGGTCAACAGAATTCACAAGGATATCAAATTCACTCACGAGGTAGAAAAAGACGGGAAACTCGCATTTCTCGATCTTCTAGTCATCAGGGAATCGTCATAATCTTCTTCGCTTGAATACGAAATTTACAGGAAACCAACAAGCACCAAAAGAGTTATCCATTATACTTCCAACCATTCGTTCCAGCAGAAAATGGCCACCTTCTTTTGAGCATGGGCAGTTATTTTGAGTTGTACTGATTCCAGAAATTTTCAATTAATAGATATTTTTGATTTATAGTAATGCTTCCTTCTTTTGAATATGAGTTGTACTGATTTCAGAAATTTAATAATCAAAATTTTGATTTATCGGAATGCTTCTTTCTTTTAAATATTACAAATTCTTTCTTTCTGCGAATTTTAGCTCAAATGTGAATTTTTTTTCCTTGATTTGTTTTCCGTCGATCTTGTTTTCCGTATTGAGTACCAATGCTACCGACGCCAACGCCGTGCACCAACGTCTTTACTTCCCCCTACTGAGCTACAAAATGGATTTACCAATCAGATTTCTTCTAATCAATTGCGTAATAAATTCTCCTACGAGAAATTAACTAAAGAAAATTTAACGAAGAATTAAATAGAAGACTCCAACTGAATCTTAACCATCAATTTTCTTTAAATTCAAATTCGAAAATGTCTGTTGTTGTTTGCGGTGATATCTATCATTATATCTACGCATAATCTGTTTTGCGTTAATTGTCCAAAGAGGACAGTGCTGTGCAAAACATGTTTGGTACCCCTATATTTTTAATTTGACGCAAACATCATATCTAATTTAACATTGTTAAAGCATATGTTCTTCCATTTGAAGGCAATTTTATTATTAAAAATTGGTTTTAGACCCGAAAACCGATAGAAAATTATCAACAAACTTCTCGGCTTCTTTATTAAGGTAGACGAATATTGACGCGAATGTAAAGATTTAGTCCTGTAGTGTCGCGAAGCGTTATGGTTCTGAGATGCTCGATGACCCTGGAGGGATCGTTTTTGCTTACTGAGCAGAAAATCATGGGTTTAATCCCAAGCTCTCCGTCATGACTCTTAAAATTCATGATCACTAAACAAAATGAATATGCTCTTTCGATAGCCGGCTATCGAGAGATTAACTAAACAACAAATAAACAATACATAATTTTGGTTGCATCGCCAACTTGAGGTGAATCCTAACCGAATACCCTACCCAACCCTCCAACTCCGTAGCACTTATGAGGGTGTCGCTAAGTCGGTGGCCTCTCGTTAAGTAAGTACTACATCAACATTTCCTTCCCTATCCCTAGTTATGGTAAAGATGGCCGTGGCCAGGAATAGCGACAGTCATGCTTCTGTTACTCTTTTTTAGATTGGAACCAATGTTTACTCCCCAGCATTATTCCTGAAAGTAGTCTAACTGAGAATTTCAGAAGAGACGTGAGTGTCGCTAGTATCCAATCTACGAAGTATATCATAACAACGCTAACGCTAACGCTAACGCTAATAAAACATTAGTGGTTGATTATTAGGAGCTATTTCTTGAAATACTTGTCTGAGTGCGAGAATAGTAGAAAAGTGCGTCAAGTTTGGATCTGCGTCAAATATGGTACCACCACAGTACCCTGTACAGTGTGAATTCGCTTTGGATTTCACTTTCCATGTTAGACCTTGTGCTCTTCCACTACACTATTTAAAGTCATACAAAGCTGCCACATGGCAATGTATGTTTTTATCTAATTAATGCAACTCATTTTATCCGGCGGTCGTTGATGTTACGGGCAAAGTCTTAAGTGCCAACCGGCAAGCCAGGCAGCATCTATTACGCTTCAAGCGCGAAGGCCACGCAAACGTAACAATCCATGCGAACACATGCGAGATACTAAATGTTTCCAAAAAGTAGGTAAAAAAAATCACTGGATGGGAGACTTTGCGTTACGTCTTTTATGAGGTCTCGTTGAGAAACACCACGCTTCATCAGAAGGGTTGTCTGAATGTATGTAATCGTTCGTTCGTTCCTAATAGACTTCCCATCGAAATGCTCGTTTTCACAAATGTATGTTTATTTGTTTGGTAAACATGGTTGATCATATGGGACCTCATAACCGAGTATGTAAAGGCACGCTATTACCAAGCCGGAGGCGACGGGTTCGATTCCGGTCCGGTCGAGGGGGTATTTCGGGTCGGAAATTTTCACGACTTTCCTGGGTACAAATTATATACAAATTCATGCATTGGTATTGACATCGAAAGCTCTCAATTAATAACTTTGGAAGCGCATTTAGAGAACAATAAGTTGAGAGCAAGCGATAAGCTAATATGCGCTAAGCAATAAGCTTGAAGAAGACATGATTGATCATCGTGGATTCGTCTGCCCTACGAATCTGTGCGTATTCAACAAAAGATCTGTTCCCGTACTTGCTTTTTTGCTTTTGTTGCAGGTTGCTGCAGCTTTCTTTAAGAAAATAATATGGTACATCAAGTACGGGGACATGCTTTTGCTTTTTGCTGTACAGAATCTTACTGAAAAGCAAGTACGGGAACAGACCGAAAGTTAGTGCACATGGAAACAACTCGTTTGGAAAATCGATTTCAATCAGGTTTTAATCATAAGCATTGCGTTTGTTAGAAAAGCGATGATCGATTGACAGAGTATTCCCATTAGTTTTTTTTTTAATTTAAAAATATTAAATTAGGACTAAGTTCTAAGTTAAATCGACACTTACCAATATTCGCTTCCGATTTTTGTAATTCAAGAACATCACATCAGGATACTTTCGCGGTATCCGTCCTTCCAATTCCTGAATTTTACGCTGAAGCTGCAAGATTTGCTTCTTGGCTTCATGCATCTCGTCCAGTCTGGATTCGTGTTCCTCATCGCCGACGCCACCAACCACTCGGTGGTCATTGGCCACTTCGTTTTCCACATTCCCATCTGGCAATCGCTCCTGTCGTTGATGAACGTACCGCCCACGATCGACACTATTCTCTAGATCATTTACGCTACCGATTGCTAGACTTAGCTTAGCACTAGTTGGACTACCCCACGATTTGTACAAACAGACCACTGCACCGTAGAAAGAGAGAAAAAAAAATCCAAAGAAATGCAAATTAACACCTTTGCTAAATTATCACCATTTCCACTTTCAAACTACATCATCATCACTCGGCATCGTGCCCATTTCGCCAAACTCGATTGCTCAACCTGTGGCGCACATTTTTGGACTTGTTTGCATTTAGCAGCGTAAGCACCACGGAAAGTAGAAACGCGAAACGAAAAGCGCTGCATCAGGACATTCTCCCAAAACAAAATCTAAAAACAATAAACCGAGGGATGGAAAACTACTGGGCTTGTTCCGTCGCGTAGCGCTTTATAAAACATCTTCCCATTTTGGATGCAACACAAAGATCAGCGATGGTCCACTCTTTCTCCCATCCTCCACCGCAGGTATCTTTAGATAACAGCAACAATCCGAAGCTGATGGAAAAACCTACCCAAAACTATGGCCACACCGAACGCGAACAACTGCTTCATCTTTCTCTTCGAGAACACCATAATAGACTGAGCCACCAGAGGCAAACCGCGAAACCGCGAGATTTACTGCACAATAACGCACTTTTTTCTTCCTATCACGACTAAAACCGACATCGACGACGACCACGACTACCACCGTCCATTCTTCATCAAAATCAAAACTCAAAAGTTGCTTCGCTCGCTTGTTCGTCGTTTTCGTTGTTTACGAACGTTTCTGACCAACTTGACGTGTTTGTTTTGTCACGTCTTTCGGGTCTTTCGTTCGTTCACGCATAAAGGATAGGGTGATGCTGTTTCGATATTATCGATACTTTTTGATTCAGAGTACGCTAACTTGAAATTACCCATTAATGAGTAAAAATAGCCATTTTGAAGAAAAGTGGCTTAATTCATTCATTAGTTTTTTTTTACCTGTAGTATCTGTTACACTCAGGGGGTAAGTCACTCTGTCACCTTGTGTTTGTGCTTATTGTGTTTCATGTGTGTTTTTGGGTGTCGGAAGGTTTTTCTGGGTACTTCATCGTATTGACCGAGTTGTCAAAACTTCAACCGAAAAAAAATAAATTTACTGGCAACCTGGGGGTAAGTCACTCTGCCACATTGTGCTAACACCCATAGAAACACACTTTGACACACTTCAAGCACCCTTCCGCGACATGACAAGCAATATTTTAATCAATTCTGGCACCACTGCAATTAATGTTTACATTCGATTGTTATTTTGTTGTTTTGAAAAAAAAAAACAGAAAAAATCGTCGAACCGTCCTGCCTTGGAAACCTCCAATCCAAAGAAAAGGAAATACTAAACCGGTTGGGATCCACAAAAGCAGCAGCTTCAGGATGCTAAAAAGGTAAAGATGTCTTGTCTTGCAAGAAAACTAAGACAAACGCAACGGAAAAGTTTCTGATTGTAATCCTGGGTTCTCACCAGCGGCAGCCCAATCACGGCCCCTCCAATCAATTGCAAATGCTCCCTTTGCTTGATCCTTCTCGGATGGCACGGGCTGCGGTTATTTTAGCTCCAATAATCCTCCCGCCGGTTGTGCTTTTCCTTTAAACAAACAACTGCAAAGGAATCGCAAGGGGGGTCGATTGCTACAGTATGATTGTATCAGTGATTTGTTTTCATCGGGAAAATTTTCCGCTATGAAGTTTTGTTTTTCCGATGAAAACAATTTGCGCATACGTATACGTGACGTAGTGTGCGTACGATAAACGTCAGCAATCTCTATGGTTGAGGATATGGTTGCCAGTAAATTTATTTTTTTCGGTTGAAGTTTTGACAACTCGGTCAATACCTAGGTCAATAGAGATTGCTGACGTTTATCGTACGCACACTACGTCACGTATACGTATACGCAAAATGTTTTCATCGGGAAAAAAAAACTTCATAGCGAAAATTTTTCCCGATGAAAACAAATCACTGACACTATCATACTTTAGCAATCTCTATACGATGAAGTACCCAGAAAAACCTTCCGACACCCAAAACCACACATGAAACACAATAAGCACAAACACAAGGTGGCAGAGTGACTTACCCCTTGGTCCCAAGCTAATCGATTCACCCCTCGAAACATAGGAAAATTCAATACCCGCATAAACGCGAACCATCACATGACCTTACCGGTAATGGTTATAAATTGTTTATAATCCCTGCTAAACTTCAACTGAAATGGTTATGGAAATTTACATGAACGTTTGTGTGATAAAGTTTTAACCTTATGTGTTATGGTTTTTTGGAAGCGGACCTTACAAATAATGGGTTGTTAAGAACCATTACCATTCCAAATTCTTCTTTTCTCCATACAATTTCGGAAAGAAAACTATACTAAAACCTTTTAACTTATGGTTTGAGAACATTAATGGTTATGGTTATGGTAGTCAGTAAGGTCCATTAATGGTTTTGTATTATCACTCAACTTTACGTGAAATATATCGTGAATTGGTAATCAGTAATTTACAGGCAACCAATTCGCGATATATTCCACATAAAGTTGATCGATGTTACAAAACCATTCATGGACCTTACTGGTTACCATAACCATTACCATTAATGTTCTCAAACCATAAGTTAAAAGGTTTTAGTATAGTTTTCTTTCCGAAAATGTATGGAGAAAACAAGAATTTTGAATGGTAATCCCGTAAAAAAAAACCGTAGAGGTACAATGAAATGTATTGTAACCATACAATAGAGTTTATGGTATTTACAATAAATCGTATTCTCGACAACGATAAAATAACAATAGAATGTATTGTTTCTACAATAGAATCTATGGTAAATGGGGGAATATACAATAGATTAAGGGGGTCGTTATGTATCTTAACCATACGAAAAATCACTTTTTCCCGAACAAACTTGAACCATTTACCATTAATTGTATTGTTGTTCTATTGTTGAAAACTCTTACTATATGGGACCTACTGTACATCTATTGTAATAACAACATGTTAAAACTTCGTGTACTATATACACACAATAAGATCGATTGTTGGCAATAGATTTACTTGTAACTGTATTTTATTTTATGGTAATTGTATGGTTATTTTTTTCCGGGATGGTTCTTAACAACCCATTATTTGTAAGGCCCACTTCCAAAAAACTATAATACTTAAGGTCGTTCATGTAAAGTTCCATAACCATTTCAGTTGAAGTTTAGCAGGGATTATAAACAATTTTAACCATTTTAGGTAAGGTCAATTTATGGTTCGCGCTTATGCACCCCTCATTTTATCTGTCAAACTTTCATAGCGAATCAAAACAAACATTGTGTAGTAGTAGAATTTCGACTAGAATGGGGTACATTAATCGTTTGCTTGGGACCAATAGACCAGTCAAGTAGTGAGGCAAATTAAAATCGTTAGTTTCGTATTGATTGTTGCTATAACTCTTTTGATCGAGAATCCATAACGGCCGATTCAAATGTGTAGCGATTCCATTTTTCAAAACCATAGAAATATTTTATCTAGATAAAAATAATTTGTCCGAAATAGATTATAGAGTTCTCCAGATGCACAAAAGTGTGCGTGAGACCGCGCGCTACCTTTTTAAGTAGTTGTGATATCGCGATACCTTTTTGTTTCTTCTTCTTCTTCGTTTTTACGTATGGATGTTGGATTTTAGTGTTCGTGAGATTGCGCTTGGAGATCTCTATACACGAACCAACTCATAAATTTTGTACGCGTGTTCGTGGCCATAGGATAAATATTTTCCGCAAACACGGCGGCAGATGTCAGTTTCGGGGTCAGTTTTGTGCTTTGATCAGAAATTACTTTGTAAATTCGACAGTGAGCATGCATAAGGGCGTAAACGTGATGATCGATTCTCTTCGTCGATTTTCTCTTTTGTTAATAATCGCTAGAATTGAAGCTTCTCGGTGCGTTTGTTGTTGCTTTTGATAGCCAATACAACCTGTTACAACTCTGCATTGAACAAATTCTAGAAAATTGTATCACTTAGCTGTAGCAATGCAAAGAGAAAATCGATGAAGAGAATCGATCATCGCGTATACGCCCTTATGCATGCTCACTGTCGAATTGTCTCGTAAATTGTATGATCATTCATGTTTGTCGGTGTAATTAGTTCAAATTTTTTTGAGTGATTTTCAAAAAATTAACTGGCAACTCTGGTCGTAGTTATGCATAAAATGTTTGTCAGGTTGGTAGCAATGAAAAATTCAAACGCACTGTCAAAACAAAACATTCGCATGCGATGTTCGTTTCGTTGTTGCCCGCGGTCCATCGATAAAATTCACAACAGTCGTTTTTCTTTCACCTAATTTTCTTTTGAGTTCTCGATTTTTATTCAAATCCTCAAAACAATCAAGTGCTTCGCGTGCGTGACAATTTCAAAGCGCAGCGCTCCCACCAGCTGGTCATCGTCGTTGGCACTGCTAGCGACAGCGAGCGACACCGCCATGTCGGTGTTCCACCCAAAACGGTTAACCGACGGACACGAAATCGAACAGCAGATGGACCAAGATGGACAGGATAGTGGTGATATTCTGCTGCAGACGTCCGGAACGGGGACCTTGGCGAACGTTAGTTGCAGGTTTGTTGATTGAGGATTGAGAACATTGTCGTTCGTAACGAGCGTTTATTTTGTTTTTTTTTATTTGTTTATTCAGAGATAAGGATTCCTCGGAGGAGCGATCACCGCGACACAGATCTACTAGAAGGTGTGTTTGAAAAACTACTGTTGTTTGATGATAAAATGTGTATGATATTGATTGTGATTTTTAATAGCTTCCAGCCGAAAAGGGTTTCTGAGCTGCCTCCGTTGGAATCGGAATCGGATTCAGATGACGAGAATAATTTGAACTGTGCAATCTTAAACGATTCATTCCTGCTGACCCCTTCAAAATGTCCTGATGACATGGATAGTGTAGACAAGGCTCCGAAATCCGTGGCGATTCCGACACAGAAGGAAAATGTACATGCACGCCAAAGACTGGAGGATAGGTTAATTAGTACGGCAGGCCCAGAACCGCATGAGATGAAGGTTTTAAAACGGGTTCCCCTTTTGGATCGATGTCAGTTTTCCCTTCTTAACCAGAACGATTCGAAATGCTCGAAAACGCGAGACTCGGGTATCAGTAGTACAACTTCGTCGGTGCTTTCCGCCGTAGAGCAGCCAGTGACAGAGATTGGGATCAAACCTACCAACAAGGACGAAGTGGACGAGGCAGAGCTTGGAAAGAGTCTACGGGAACAGAAAATTCAATCTCCTTCTAAGGATCACCTGTTCGTGACGCCACGAGACAAGTTTCCACGGAGCCACGCTCGAGGAATATCCTCTCGAGTGATTTCTTCGACAGCGGGTCGTAGTAAATCTCGGACTACGTTGGAAGATGAATTCAAATCTCAGAAGATATTATTCGCAACGCCTTTGGCCACTGGTTTGTCCAGGCTTCCGGTGAACGCCAATGATAGCCTATCGTTGTCCCTGGTCGATACTCCCATCAAATCGAAAGACAGGCCACTGTCACCAATCGTGGAACAGCAGCAGCCGGTGCGAGCTACGAAACGCTCGACGGATGAACTTTTCCCAGCAACTCCGGGACCGGAAAAGCGACTATCTCCGGAACCTGTACCACATCCATCGAAGGACGTTCCACCAGTAGCGGCGGAAGAGAAACGAACGACAGAGCAGCAGCAGCAGCAACAGACGAAGCCACTTCCAGTGATTGCCATCAACGGGAAGGAGTATCAGGTGCTGAAGAAGCTGGGTTCTGGTGGGTCCAGTTCCGTGTTCCTGGCCAAACAGGTTGGCACCGGAGTGGAATGTGCTCTGAAGGTGAAAGAGTGGTAAGATTTTGATTTGTTTTTAATGTTAATGGCACGAATTTCTTTGGTTTCAGTTGGTCAACCTTGAAGGCGATGCCAGTCTTGTGGAGGGCTATATTAACGAGACGAAGCTGCTTGCCAAACTACAGGGAAACGAAAATGTAGTGGCTCTGTACGATTAGTAGGTGTAATGAACTGAAATGGCAAAGCTTCCAATTTATTATTGAATTGATTACTTTTCAGTTGCCACCTTCCAGAAGCAAACCAGCTCTTTCTCGTCATGGAGAAAGGCGACAGTGATCTGCACAAATTCCTTCAAAACTATCAAAAGGACATTCCCCTCTACACGCTGATGCAGATATGGTACCAAATGGTGCAATGCGTTCACTACATCCACGAGCACGGTGTCATCCATCTGGACCTGAAACCGGCCAACTTTCTCATGGTCAAAGGACGCCTCAAGCTGATCGACTTTGGCATCGCCAGCAACATCGCATTCGATTCTACCAGTATTATGAAATTTTCCCAGGCGGGCACATTCAACTACATCAGCCCGGAAGCGTTGATCGACACTGAGACTAGCCCTTCCAACTCGCAGCCAAAGATCAAAATGTCCAAGAAATCCGACATTTGGTCGCTGGGTTGCATCCTGTACCTGCTGCTGTACAAAAAGACGCCCTTCGCTCACATCAAGAACATTCACAACAAGGTGAACACCATTACCAATCCGAACACGGTGATCGAGTATCCACCGCTACCCATGTACTATCCGGCCATGTTGCTGGAAATGCTGCAGAGGTGCCTCAAGTACGACGCCAAAGCGCGGGCTTCCACGACGGAGCTGCTACAGTATCCGTTCGATATGGTGATACCGATCGGCACCAAGTGACGTAAGTTTGTTTTCTCCTGTCAGCAGGTGTCGATCTGCTCTGTGTATAGTATTTTCTAGCATTTATCCTGTGTGCTGCAAATATTTATTATATATATTGGCTATTTCTACACAAACTAACAACGTGAACTGAAGGCACAAACAGATTTTATTTCTATTTGATGCAAAATATATGTAGGTATAGAATCGGTTTTATTGTGAACCCTTTGTGTGTGTTGTTCTTTCCAGTGATGACCTTTTCGGATCGTACATCAAACCGAACAATGGACTACACGGCGAATGAGAACGACCCATATTTGAGTTTAGCTTACTCATAAAGTTACTTATCGCTGAGTTCCTGCATTTTTGGCGATTATGAGTAAACTAAACTCAAATTCGGATCGTTCTCGTTCGCTGTGTAGGTCCTAAGTAACATTGAACGATTTTCTTCATCGAATTTCTCTTTCGTTAATGTTTCTTGTCGTGTTTGTTGTATTAGAGCTAGATAAAAATTTCATTGTATGTTGAAAATGAACAAAGAGAATCTATCAATGTTACTTAGGGGTGATGCATATATTATGTCACGCTCTAAGGGGGAGGGGTAATAAGGTTGTAACGAGCAATGAATCAGGTATAGCAAAAAACGTAACGAAAGGGGGGAGGGTGGTTTTTCCTCAATTTAGCGTGACATAATAAATGGATCCTTAGGACCAAATCCATTGTTCGACTTAGAAACGTATAGCGCTTCATTCGTCCTTTCATTCGAGACTCAAACGCTTTTTCAGAACACCTCAATCAAACTATCATCCCGCTTCACCTCATACTTGATCAGCTTCCCATAGCGCCTGAGCAGCTGCCGCCAGTAGCACTCGACATCCTGCATCCGCAGATGGTTCCACACATGCTCGTACCCTCGGTCGGCAATCCCGCGAGCCAAATCGTCATGCTCGGCAAAGAACCGGATCAGCTGCTCCAGCTCTCCCTGGCTGGCACCGACCCGAACCGGAACGTAGTGCACCCACGGCTTCAGCGACGGATAGAAAAACTCCTGCCACTCGCTGCCCACGTGAAACACCAACGACCGACAAAGGAACAGATGCTTGAACCGGAAACTTGCCGCCACTCCGCGGAAATTGAACAAGTACTTGTATTGACAGTGATCTTCCAATCGAACCTCCTTGGCCGGTTCCGCGTTCAGCGTATCCTGTGGCGTTTTCCACGCTTGGTTCTTCGTATACTGAGCATCGACCAGCTCGGGTTTACTGCGCGATAGCAACACCAACGGGTCACGCTCGTCAGACGTCCTTGAACCTCGGAAAAACCCTCTGCCTTTCTTCTTCTTCCACGGCCACGATTCAGCTGCTTTCTTGATCGAAACCCTGTGCTGATCCCATCGTCCCAATCCGGTGGGATAAAGCGAAATTGCCGGTCCACCCTCCCAAAAGCCCCACGTTGGATACATAATATCCAGGTAATCTTCAGTTTTACTAAAAGACAGCACCACCAGTTTCTCCTGATGTCCCCAGTGTCGGTTGATCTGAGGCCAATCGCGACAGTTTATGATCAGCTCCATATTCGGGAGATTCGGTAGGTTCGGTTTGATAAAATGCTCCACTCCAGAGCATCGCGCCGGAAACATGCAATCCTTCTGGCGGTACAGACGATGGTTCACGATTTGATACTTTGTTCCGTACGAACGGGCTCTTTCAACCATCTGCTGAGTGATTCCGGTTTTGAACGGCCGCAGATCTGATTTCAGGACATCCGCGTGGCAAGAACAATTTGCTTGCCGGCACGGTGTGTAGGAAGCCAAAGCTTCCTGGATAAGTGTTACGTACTTATTGTCAGCTAAAATTAATCGAAAAATACTATCAATAACCAAAGGCTGTTAAACTTTCTACAACTCACCGGCCTTGTACAGATCTATCTTGGGCTCATCAGGATCAGGTGATTCTTTGCACGGTTCTTTAGCCAGGCACATGCCATCGTCGGTGAGACCATTGTGGAATGATAATACTAACAACACTATAACTACTTGCGGATACTGCATAATACTGGGGTTGGTACCTAATCTAGGTATATTTAAATAAAATTAAAACTAAAATCGGAATGCAGACGACTGGCGAGATCTGTGTCCGCACGCAAGAACAACGACCAAACAAACGAACGAAGAAAGGAAAATGATTAGGACGCTGACGCTAATCATTTTGACGTTTGTGACGCAGAAGACCGAGCAGATGAACTTGTAAACAGTGAATGAACCAAATGATGAACGATACATGAACCAACTACACGCTAAACAAAATATCTTCTCTTACAAACTTCTTATTCGTGCACGGAACGAAAGTGAGACGTAAAAACTATTGATTTTCATATAAAATTGCGCTATTGGAAAATCTCTTGAGTTTAATACATTCGACAAGATGACAAAGGAAGAATTATTAACAAGTCGAAGCATATGCAGCAATAATATATAGTTAATCACCTCTATTCCCGTTTTCGTACGAACCGGATTCGTTCGAAACGAAAGCAATTTCCCATTCCCGTTTTCGTTCGAAGCAATTCTAACTTTCGAACATCGTTCGTTCGAACGATGTTGCTATTCCCATTTTCGTACGAATGCGTTTTTTTGTCCGCTTTCCAAACGTCACTCCAAACTCGCGAATCGCGAGACAGCCAAGGGATAAAAACTTTGAAATTTTTTGTAATCCCTAATAAAAATGTTAATTTGCTTAACGACGTGTTCGGGGTTGATTGATTGATTTATCTTTAATAAGGAGGCTTTCAGCCTGAGGCTGGTTCGCCTCCAACGTGTTCGGGGTATCATCCAAACTATTTTTGGAATAGTTCAATCATTTGGGTTATCGTTCGTGTATGGTATTTTTTATAAGGGATGGCCTGAGTGTACAAAAAAATCTACAACCAAATTTTTGGTGTTTGATTGTAATAATTTTACTTAAACTTACGTGAAGTTAAAGATCTCATATGGAAATTGATTGAAAAATCATGCAATAAAAATATAATTTAGATTAAAAAAGGATCGAAATAACTAAAAATTTTTGGACAAAAGCATTTATGTAACAGCTTACATAACAAATATTTATGCATTTAATTATGACTCAAAAACATTGCCATAGCCATATACAGTCAAGATTCCTATAGTGTGGATTCGTTCTTGCCGGATTCCTATAGTACGGTCGATCTGGCATTAACGAATACACGTAGCATATGGGATTAGAGCTAATTGGGACCAACCACTGATTGTACGGAAATTTGAAGAGATAACTTTCTGATGTCTTTTGAGAAGTTGTTAAGCAGAATGTTGGCTACCTTTTGGGACGATTCAGTTTCCGGTAGGACACAAGTCTGATCCTGTGGAAGATCCGGAATATCCGTAAAAGTGGCCGATTCATGAAACTGATCATAGAGCTCCGCGGATTTTTCGAAACCACTCATAAACGTCTTATCAGAATGAATTTGGAGTTGTGACCAGAATATTGGTCCTGGTGACCACGGGATAGTTCACCGGAAGATCCGGAACATCCGTAAAAGTGGTCAATTCATGAAACTGATCCTAGAGCTCCACGGATTTTTTGAAACCACTCATAGACGTCTTATCACAATAAATTCGGAGTTGTGTTTGGAAAATGTACTCTGGGGACCATGGAATGGTTCACCGGTAGATCCGGAACATCCTGAAAAGTGGTTAATTCATAAAACTGATCTTAGAGTTCCGTGTTTTTTTTTCGAAACCGCTCATAGACGTCTTATCACAATTAATTCGGAGTTTTGACTGGAATATGGACTCTGGGGACTACAAGATGGTCCACGGGAAGATCTGGAACATCCGTAAAAGTTGTAAAGTTATGAAACTGATCCTAGATCTCCGTGATCTTTCCGAAAATACTCATACACGTCTTATCAGAATGAATTCAGAGTTGTGACCTAAATATTGATTGTGGGGACCACAGGATGGTTCAAAAGAAGATCCGGAACATCCGTAAAAGTGGTCAATTCATAGAGCTCCATGTTTTTGTTAAACCTTTCATAAACGTCTTACTACAATTAATTCGGAGTTTTGACTAGAATTTGGACTCTGGGGACTACAGGATGGTCCACCGAAAGATCCGGAACATCCGCAAAAGTTTTCAATTCATGAGACTGATTCTAGAGCTCCATGAGTTTGCGAAACTACTCATAAAAATTTTATCAGAATGAATTTGGAGTTGTGACCGGAATATGAACGCTTAGACGGAAAATGGACCTTTGGGACCACGAGATGGTTCACCAGGAAGATCCTGAACATCCATAAAAGCCGTATTTATGAAGACAAAAATATTAGCACCAAAACCATCACTTTTGGGTATATGGTGTCTGGGGAAAGCTTGCTTAAAATTGGTGAATTAAAAATTCAACCTTTTTTATTACTTGAGATAGACTAATGCAGTTTTTTTTAAGTTGTAGAACAATCAATTTGAACCAACTTTGCTCATGGCATCAAATTTTTATCTCTTATGGTTCATGACTTATGGTTATTTTAAACAAGTAGGTTGGAGTGGCCCCTAGAAAATCTTTCTTTAAATATTTTTATTGGTGATCAACGTATAAACAATATTTAAAGAAAGCCGATTTTCTAGGGGCCACCCTAACCTCTCGTAAAAACATTATTCTAAATACTTTTAGAACTTTTTATGACGCATATTTTTGCAGAAGTCACTAATTTGAATCTCCCTATTTAAAAGTTATGGCTAGTTTTTGATAAAAAAAAAGATTTTTTTTTTAAATTAAATTAAATACTTTAAACAAAAAACGCCCTCACAGTTTTTCCACAAATACTGAAAAAAAAACACGATCTTTTAAATGAAATCGAAAGTTTGAAAATCGGTTTGCTCCATTTAGAGACATTTTCATTTTAATAGAACCATTTTTTCGAAGAAAATCTCCATTAATTTTCTAATAATAAAGAAGATGGCAGCCTGGTTGCTTCAGCAAAAATATGCGTCATCATAAGTTCTAAATGTAACCAAAACAAGGTTTTTACGAGAAATGAACTTATGAAAAGATATTCGAAGAAATCTGTTTTTATGGGCCATTGTAACCTGCTTGTTTAAAAAATCTTAACTCATGAACCTTAAGAGACAAAAATTTGGTGTCTTGAGCAAAATTGCTTCGAATTGATTGTTCTACAACTTTTAGAAAATTGCATTAGTCTATCTCAAATAATTTTGTTTTTTTCAAATCTCCAATTTTGTGGACCACCCTAATTTCACTAACATAAAAAGATCGGCCAAACAATATGAAGAAACTTTCCCGAAGACACTATATACCTAAAACGTTTGGGCGCAAGCATTTTTGTCTTCCTAAATACGGCTTTGAGACCATTGTGCAGTGGATGGTCTTCCGAAAGATCCGAAACATCCGTAAAAAGGCTCAATCCATGGAACTGATCCAAGAACTCCGTTTTTTTTTCGTAAGCTCTCATAGACGTCTTATAATTATGAATTCGGAGTTATGATCGGAAAACAGACCCTGGAGACCATGAACGCTCCTCTGGAAAATAATAGACAACTCATCAGAATGAACTCGGAGTTGTGACTGGAAAATGGACCCCAGGGTCCATTGGATGGTCCTTCGGAATATCCGGAACATCCATTAAAGTGGATAGGTCAAGAAAACTGATCTAAGCACTCTATGGTTTTTTAGAACTGCTCATAGACACATTTTTTATTTATTATCATGGATGATTTCTAGGTGGTATTTAAGTATTTAATAACTTCTAGACACTTTTAACGGAATTTTTGATGATCTTCCGGATCTTTTAATGGACCATCCCGTGGTCCCCAGTATAAACTATCTGGTCAAAACTCCGATTTTATTGTGATAAGATGTCTATGAGTGCTTTCTAAAAAATCGTGGAGCTCAAGGATCAATTTCATGAATTGAGCACTTTTAGGGATATTCCGGATCTTCCGGTGGACCAACCTGTAGTCTTCATATACTTATTTCTGAACACAACTCCGAATACATTCCGACAAGACGTTTATGAGTGGTTCCGAAAAATCCGTAGAGCTCTAGGATCAGTTTTATGAATTGACCACTTTTACGGATGTTCCGGATCTTCCGGTGGACCATCATGTAGTCCCTCCAAATACATTCTGATAAGACGTCTATAAGTGGTTTGAAAAATCCACGGAGCTCTAGGATCAGTTTCATGAATTGACCACTTTTTTGATGTTCCGGAACTTCCGGTGAACCATCTCGTGGTCAGCAGGGTCCATATTCCAGTCACAACTCCGAATTCATTCTGATAAGACGTTTATGAGTGGTTTTGAAAAAACCGCGGAGCTCTAGGATCAGTTTCATGAATTGACCACTTTTACGGATGTTCCGGTTCTTTTAGTGGACCATCCTGTAGTCTCCAGTGTCCATATTTCGGTCACAACTCCGAATTCAATCTGATAAGACGTTTATGAGTGGTTTCTAAAAAACGCGGATTTCTAGGATCAGTTTCATGAATTGACCACTTTTACGGATATTCCGGATCATCCACAGGATCAGACTTGTATCCTACCGGAAACTGAATCGTCCCAAAAGGTGGCCAACTTTCTGCTTAACAACTTCTCAGAAGACATCAGGAAGTTATCTTTTCAAATCAGTGAGATTTTCAAATTTTCAACCAAAAAATTTCAACAATATTATTGTTTTGTTGACATCGTTTGACAGTCCACTTGACCGAATAATGTCAATTTCGTGCGCGGTCTATGCTTCGAATTGTTAAGAAATGTCAAAGTGCATCTGGTACCACTAACACTGTTTATTTTCGAAAAAGCTTTCGTTCGAACGGGTTCGTACGAAAACCAGAATGCCGTTTTCGAACTCGTTCGAATCGAGTCGTTCGTACGAACGAACGATTCGAACGAAAACGGGAATAGAGGTGAATATATTGCGGATTAAATCACGATTAATTGAAAATAAATATCTAGGCTAGCATTTGAAAGGGGCGGAAGAGCCAACATGTAAACAAACCATATTTTGCCTTATATAGAGAGAACAGTTCACAAACTACTCGTTAAATACGAAAAAGTAGAAGAAAATATCATTTCAAATCATCAAAAACGTTTCCTTTTACATGACGTATTTCCAATTTTCAACTCTATGATACATCTGGTTGTGACGACTTGCACCAAAACTACGAATTATATTGTTTTAATATGCTAAATGTACTAGTCACGCCCGATTAATTTGAAATGCATCCGATTGATATTTCACGTGTAAACAACGAACAATAAGAAGACTAAAAAATCTCGGGGTGTAATTCCACTCTCACAAAATTTGCGAACGAAGAACCAAGGCGGAACAACAAACAAAAAAACTTCCACGGCGTATCACCAGTGTTGGCAGTTCAAAGGGTGGAAGATCCGGGGCGTAACAACATGTAAGGAATTATCAAGGCGTATGATATTTTCTTCTCAATTTCACACCATTTTTTTTGACGTAGGACTGTCTTTAATTTCTATACTGGGGTACACTTTGTGAAAACCAAAAATGGAACATGAAACAAATTTATGAAAGATTTTGAACATTAATAACTCAGCTGCTCACACAGCAAAAAAAAATGTAATATCGATCAACGTAATTCAAGCTGATGTATGAAATAATGATGTAATAGCAAAAAGCAGATACAATATTACATCAATTGATGTAATTTTGTTCGCAAAATCGATGTACATCGTACAATGTGATATTACACAACCGATGGATTGACCTGGTTGCATCAGTTTCGATGTAATATTCAACAACTTTTTTTGCTGTGCAGCTGTCAATTTCAATAATTTTATCACCAATCGATCAGAAACACAATGCTTCCAACTGATGATTTTCAACAAGAAACTATTGAAAAAGTGGTAATGTCAAGCATTATCGAAAGTACAAATAAAAAGTGATAATTTTTTCACTGTTTTCATGAAATAAACGTTGTTTCCAAACGCAGTCGTCATAATCGAGTACCACACAGCAAAAAAAGTTGTTGTATATTACATCCAAACAGCTGCACAGAGATCATTCCATCGGTTGTGTAATATTACGTTGTACGATGTACATCGATTTTGCAAACAAAATTACATCCATTGATGTAATATTGTATATGCTTTTTGCTATTACATCATTATTTCATACATCAGCTTGAATTACGTTGATCGATATTACTTTTTTTTGCTGTGCACTTGGTTGCACACCATTCTGCTTTAACTTGAAAAGATATAAAAGAGCGCTGCTGTCTAGCCTCAACTCATTTTCGCTTCGGACGCCGTGGTGAGCAGGCAGCAGAAGCAGTCGTCTGGCTCGCCGTGGCGGTGTCTCCGGTCTTCTTGGAAAATGTGATCCGTGATGTTGTCACCTATACTGAACACGCCAAGCGTATGCGGCCATCGATGTCGTCTACGCTTTGAAGCGACAGACGAAATCTATACAGTTTCGGAGGTTAAATCATCACCAACTTTGGCAACAAAACAAACCCTTTTCTGGACCAACAAGCTTATTACAGTAAAAATTTAGAACAGAATTTATCTGCCTGTTGGTCCATATTCAGAACCACATGCCCCCAACGACCACATAAAATACTCTCTAGAGTTGTAATCTTGTAACCAAACTTGGAAGCAGGGGTGCAAGTGATTTTGATCGATTCTCTTCATCAACTTTCTCTTTAAAAAAAAAATACTACACATTTGGTACGCCTCAATCAAAACCGGAAAGAGTTAAGATAAAGAATTGTTTTTGAAAGAACTAAATTTTTTTCCTACGTCAAGCTCCCGTTCGTACGCCTAGGCACAGATCCTTCTACTTTTTTTTGTGTTTTTAGTGATGCACGATGATAGATTACACTAGGGGCACGCAATAACCTTTAAATCCAACGCAGGCAACGACTTTAATTAAATTAATTCAATTAATTACTGCTTTAATTACATTAATTACATAATGTAGAAAATTAACTACTTTTTAACTCCATTAATTACAGTTGAAATTTCGTAATTAAAGTACATTAATTACATTTTCAATACTTTTAATTACATTAATACCGGATAGATAATTTTAATCACCGTCAGTACTACTTCAAAACGCATTAATGACTTTAAGTACTTTTGAATGCATTTTAACTTCAACGCACCGGTTCTTTGTATTGCGTGACCCTCGAGATTACACTATTAACTATATGTCAAGCTGATAAAATCATTCAGAAAATGGAAAGTCGTGAAATAGGATTAATTCGGAAGCGAATTTCTCGATTTGGTGATTTTGGAATTCCGTCCTTTTCAAATGTTAGTCTAGATATGTTAATGACCCTTGAAATTACCATTTTGTAATTTTGGTTTTCTATATAAAAACGTATTCATTTAATGCTGAATTTTCAGCGCAATACTCGGTCCTTTTCCCAGCAAACTCCTGTCAAAAAACATTTGCCAGGAGACTTAACGACATGTTCGGTGTATTATCCTAAACATTTGTGGGATAGTTTACCCATCCGGGATACAGTTCGTTTATGGTATTTGTTTATTACACACTTAATCTAACTTGGTAAAATCTCCAACAGCCGATTACCTCGGCATTAACTTTTGCTGATGTATCTGCAAAATGTTATTTGATAGCAGAGTTTCGGCAATTGTTTGACTGAATCCGAGACTGAATCTCAGCAAAATAGATCGCAGAATTATTGCAAATTGTTATGGTTATTTTGCTTATCGACGTGTTTGAAGTATCATTCAAACTATTATAATACTTCTATTATTTGGTTTATCGTTCGTTTATGGTAATTTTTATTAGGGCAGCAAAGTTGACTTTGTTGGAACGATTGCTGGTTTTCCAGCTCGGCAAAAGCCATAGCAAAATTTTGCTGGTTCCCATAGCAGAATAAAAAAAATAGTGTTAAAATCGTACGATATAAATCGAGAAAATTAGGGACGTTATATTTGATTCACCCCTTCATCGCTTGTAGGTTCATCCACTTCGTGTAGTGAGTTCATTTCGGTTTCGTGAGTGGTGTGTTTCGGATTCGGGAGGCGGCATCAGTAGTAATCTGTTCTGTTTTGGTTCCCTTTCTGACGTCTTCCATATGTTTTCGTATCATGTGTTTTTAGCGGTTCTTGTTTTGCTGAAGAGAAGTTTGGTCATTTGGCATCCAAATTTTAAAATCAAAGCTCAGTGAAAAATCTTGTATTGCAGAGTAACAAGCGTGTTCCAAAATGACCATCACCGATTACGTGTCGGCCTTGTCGGACAATCCGTACTTTGGTGCCGGTTTCGGCTTGTTTGGCCTCGGCGCTGGCGCTGCGATGTTACGTAAAGGCTTGCAAGGAGCGTTGATAATGTTTCGTCGGCACTACATGATAACACTGGAGGTTCCTTGCCGGGATAAATCCTACCAGTGGGTATTGCAGTGGATCACCCAGAAGGGCGCCAAACATACGCAACATTTGAGTGTGGAAACATCGTTCCAGCAACGTGATACGGGTCACATCAATACCAAATATGATTTTATTCCTTCCATCGGTACCCACATTATGCGATACGGAGGGACGTGGATCAAGGTGGACCGAGCCAGAGAACAACACACACTGGATTTGCACGCGGGAATACCGTGGGAAACTGTACAGTTGACTGCCTTTGGACGGGACAAGAACTTGTACTTCAAAATATTGGAAGAAGGTAAGAAGGTAGTGAATGACATTCTGTGAGAAATTCTTCAAGATTTTCTTTTTTTTGCAGCCAGGCAACTAGCCCTGAAGAACACGGAGGGGAAAACTATAATGTACAGTGCCATGGGATCCGAGTGGCGTCCATTCGGTCATCCCAGAAAACGGCGACCGTTGAAATCCGTTGTATTGGACGACGGTGTGTCAGATCGAATTCTGAAGGACTGCCGAGAGTTTATCCATAATCCTCAGTGGTACGCAGACCGGGGAATACCGTATCGCCGGGGTTACCTCCTGCATGGGCCACCTGGTTGTGGCAAATCGAGTTTCATCACTGCTTTGGCAGGTGAAATAGAATTCGGCATTTGTCTGCTAAATCTGTCCGAGCGAGGCTTGACGGACGATCGGTTGAATCATCTGATGAACGTGGCACCTCAGCAGTCGATCATACTGCTAGAAGACATCGACGCCGCTTTCGTATCGCGTGAGGATACCAAAATGCAAAAGGCCGCATATGAGGGCCTGAACCGGGTTACGTTTAGCGGTTTGTTGAATTGTCTGGACGGAGTGGCATCGACGGAGGCGAGAATCGTCTTCATGACTACCAACTATCTGGATAGGCTAGACCCTGCTTTGATCCGACCGGGCCGAGTGGATGTCAAAGAATACGTCGGGTATTGCACCGGACATCAGTTGGAGCAAATGTTCATGCGGTTCTACACCGACGAGGAAGCCGTGGCCAATTCGAAAATATTTACTGAAAACGTGCTAAGCGAGGGACGGAATGTCAGTCCCGCACAGGTTCAGGGATACTTTATGATGCACAAAACGTCCGATCAGCAGACGGTGGTGGAGAATGTGAAGAAAATTTGGGATAGCTTGTGATCGACGGGTGTAGGGACAGTAAGATAATAGACAAGTATTTTAACAAATAAAAGAATCCGGAATACCTGTGAAACTCTGTACAAAGTGAACCACGATTGACAATGTCATACAATTACAGGCTTTGAGAACGTTTGGGGAGAAGTAATAGTTCGAGTGCTGTTGACAATAGTGGAAAGGTCGGTAATAATGTGATATTTCATGCTGGTTCAATAGCAGGTGTAGAAATGTATTGACAGATTTCTCTATCCTCTGCTTTTGTTTCGGGTTTCTGAAATGACCTCTTTTCCTGAGTCTGAGTGGGTTCAGGGTTGGATTTCCTGGGTGATTATCGAGTCCTCTGGTTCTAATTCGGTGTGCGCTGTATTTTGGGCATCGTTCAGTTCGTCCTGCAGGTAAAACACATGATCAGATTCTATGATCTACTGGACAAAAAAGACATAACATACTTCCTTATCTTCTTCCAGTGGTAGAGATGAACTAGCCTTCGGCTAAAAATCTCTCAAATAAAGATTTAAAAAAAATCTTCCAGTGGTTCGATTTTGACTGCTGGCGTTCAACAAGTATTTTCCGCTTGCTGTTCCTTGGCTTCTGGTAATTCACTGTTGTTTTTTATAAAGGATTACCGCGTTTTCACGACCCTAATTTGTTTTTAAATTGGGTGCTTTAAGGGTATTGAGGTAAATGCATATTCGTAATCTGCCAGGGGGAACGACACTCATTCAGATGAATTCTATTTTACCATGCTTGCCTGTAAAAATAATGTAATTGAATAGAGTTTTTTCAGTTTGTCGTCTTGACGAAAATTGAGTAAGGATAGAAAAAATAATATGGGATTGCATTGGATGCGAGGTTGCTTTAAATTGTCATGGGAATGCGTGCAACTGAAATGAAACAGTACGAAAGAAAAACATCGAAGTAGCCATTTTAGTCAATGCTCAGTGAAAAATAATGTTTGGATGGTGACAGCTGGACTACAAAAGCCCTCTACTAATAGAATGCATCGATTCCACGACGAAACTGCAAAAACCTTTAATTCTAAACACGCAAACGAAATTTGTGAAAGCCAGCAGAAGCGGCAGCAGTTGAAGAAATAGCAGCATCGCGGATTCATGTAGCCGTTACCGAGGCTGGAAACCTCGGTCCGGTCACGATACTGTGATCTTCACAACCGATTTGCAATTCTCCACAGATTAACTTAAAAAATCTACCCTGAATTTGAACTCACAAAAGTGACGTGGAAAATCTCTTAGAGCGCTTTCTAAAACTACCTTTAATATCATCTGAAATTAATTGTTATCCCTGACATTCATTCTAAAATCTACTCAAAATTCCAAAAAAGTTTAGTCTGGTTCAAGAATCTTAAAACTTTTCAAAGCCCCATAATCTTTTTTTCTGAAAAATAGATGAAGTTATTTTTTCCCCGATTTGTCATTGAAATTCCCAGCTTTTTCCCGATTTCCCGGTTCACTGGTCATCCTGCTCATCCCACACCTGCCCTATAATATTCGATCGACTCTCCGCAAATGAGAGAGCGAGATATGTCGTCGGACTCGTGCAATACTGGCACCACTCAAAATCTGTGAATTTTCACATTCAACGTTTGAAAATTTGGGGTTCAGTTTCAATTTTATGATTCTTTTTATTTCCATTGGACTGAATCGAGTGTGTTTCATAAATTCTTTCAAATTCAGATTAAAAAATAAACAGTTTAACGATTTTTACTGTTTCTTATTTCAGATGTTCTCATTTGTTTTTTTTTTGTCTCCTCTATGACGCGCTTGATGAATTTGCCCCCGCGACCAATTATAGACGAGTGGTCCGTCATCTATTTTAATTTAAGCTCCCCCGGAAATCCAATCGAGAAATCACTTCATAGATATACGTGGTGGTTACCTTCGTACTATTCATTCCCTAATTCATTTCCACCAGCCACCTTGAACGACTCAACGCATATCAAATTTTTTGAACACCATGTTTATTATGGAGATCGTTAAAAAACTGACAGTGCTTCACGATCGACCTGAAAACTGCACGGCTTGCTTGATGATTTGTGTGCATGCAGAAGGGATAAGTTGGGAATAGATAGGATGGATTGAAATTTTGTGCACGTTGAAAATTTAGGAGTAATTTGGGTAAAAATGGGATAATCCTGAAGTGTCGTCCCCCCTGTAATCTGCAGTAAAATGGAACACAAACCCAAAATTTCATCAATTTTCGAAGACTGGAACTATTTTAAATAAGAACGATTACATTTACAAAAATCACCTTATTAGCGCCCCTCGGTGTCACTTTGTATGGGAGCGAGCTGTCAGTTTGTTAGTTTAGTGTCAAGCAGTGAAGTTATTATTTTGCTTTAAATCTTGATTTAAAAATCGAGATGAAAGTGTGTGGGTTCGAAAAAAATATCGCTGTGCTCCGAAAACGAAGCTCTTTCAGATGATGTATAAAAAACGATACATTTTTCAAAATTGAAGAACCCAATTCAAATACAATATGAATATTTATTTAAATTTCACTTACTTCATTATAAACATAACATACATTACGGCTTCGCCAGCTTTAAATCCATCCCCAAATCACGTCATCATTCCAATGAACATCAGCTAGCGAAAAGTGGACCTAGCAAGTTGTTTACAAAAGTTGATAGGCACTTTTCAAATGTAACGCAAGCATTATTCATGTGTTCATTTTTAGTAAACAGGGCCCCGCTGTTGTTTCAATAATTATTTTTGTTCAGTAGATGAACAAAAGTTCACCCGTGCACTCGTCTATTGACGAGTGCACGGATGGATTTGAGTTCACTCACTCGACAAAAAGTGACACAACAGCGGGGCCCTGTTTACTAAAAATGAACACATATGTGTTCATTTTTAGTAAACAGGGCCCCGCTGTTGTGTCACTTTTTGTCGAGTGAGTGAACTCAAATCCATCCGTGCACTCGTCAATCGGAAGATCTTCTTCTTCATTTCTTTATGTAACGTCAGTCTCTGTTCCGCAATCTGCCAATCACCGACGGACATTGATTGCCATCCATTGACGGCAATAGATCAGTGCACGGTCCCTAACCTCACTTTTTGCTCCCTATCATTTTGCTTCTGAGTAAAAGAGATAGCAACGAATGGGAGCCAAAACAAACCACCCAAAACTGTCAAAACTTACGGGTGAGAGAAGAGTGCGGCAAATCTTCGTGAACTGATCAATGAAATATGGATCTTTTAGACGCTTAATCGGCGCACACCACTGCACCATTGACGAGTGCACGAATGGATTTGAGTTCACTCACTCGACAAAAAGTGACACAACAGCGGGGCCCTGTTTACTAAAAATGAACACATATGTGTTCATTTTTAGTAAACAGGGCCCCGCTGTTGTGTCACTTTTTGTCGAGTGAGTGAACTCAAATCCATCCATGCACTCGTCTATTTAAATCGAACGAGTGCGAGCAAGAGGGAAACAGATTAGTGGGAAAACAAACCATCCATTCATCCATGTGTGCTAGATAGAGAAAGACGATTAAACGTCAAAAAGGTCTTTGCAGGAAGCTCGGCAGGATGGCAGATTCCACACCTGCGTAGGATATCGTACCCATCCAACACACATGGGCCGGGACCATCGGCTTTACTTCCCTTCTGAAGGCAGACGTGACCGAGGACGTGACCAGAGATTTTTATGCCTCAAAAACAAGCTTGCAAATGCTCATTACAGCTAAAATGCTATTTTTCGGATTTGTGAAGCTATGAGATATTTTAATGATAATTCTTATTTTACAAGATGCAAGAACAGAAGGTAAAGTGTGTGTATGACACATTAAACATCCCTAATAAAAAATTACTATAATCGAATGACAACCCAAATGATTGAACTATTCTACATATGGTTTGGATGATACCCGGAACACGTCGTTAAGCAAAATAACCATAACAATTTTATTAGGGATGTCAATTTAGCTTTCAGAGGGTCACAATAGCTGTAACATGAGCAACGCGATGAGCGAGCAATCAGCAATCATAAAATCGCTTGTTGTGACCTTCTGAAAGCAAAATTGGGTTCTTTAGAGGTATCAAGGTAATTGGATTTTCGTAATCGACATCACAATTGGAACCGAAATCCAAAATTTCATCAATTTTGGAGCACTGGAACTGTTTTAAATAAGTGTGATTACATAAGTGAAAATCACCATCTTAGCGCCCCTCGGTGGTACTTTGTATGGGAGTGAGCTGTCAATATCAGTGCTAACATTTGAAAACGGCGCAAAAGCCATTTGTAAACAAATGGTTTGTGGGCCCTTTACTCGCTACCCGAAGAACACCCACGCAAACCAACAGCATCGTCAGGAAGGGGAAAATTTCCCCTACCCGATGTTGCTGTTGTGTCGCGTGGGTGTACTTCAAGTAGTGAGTAAAGGGCCCACAAACCATTTGTTTACAAATGGCTTTTGTGCCGTTTTCAAATGTTAGCACTGATATGTTAGTTTTGTGTCAAACAGTGAAGTGATTAGTTTGCTTTAAATCATGATTTAAAAATCAAGAGAGAAGTAAATGGGATCAAAACAAAAAATCGTTGTGCTCAGAAAACGAAGCCCTTTTAGATGATGTATAGAAACTGATATATTTTTCAAAATTAAAGAACCCAATTGACAAATTTTATATGTCATAGGGGAAATGACGGCTTCGGCATGACATACTATTTTCGGCAACACAAATTGAAACACTATTTTCACTGGATTTTCTTACGAAAACACTTCGCTGAATGCATGCAAACGATTCTTTATGCTTTCAGCTTCAATTTGACTATATTTTTACCACTGAGAAAAAGCAATCTAGCAAGGTTTTCTAGAAATGGAACACACGCACTACAAATTGTAGCTGATTTCGAGTTTCCGATAATAGAACAGCAGATTTACAGGCAGTTCAAACAACAATCAATACGAAACTAACGATTTTAAATTGGCTCATCACTTTAGTAGCCTATTGGTCCCAAGCAAACGATTAACGTACCCTATTCTAGTCGAAACTCTAGTACTACGCAATGTTTGTTTTGATTCGCTATGAAAGTTTGACAGATAACATCAGGGGTGTGTGGATTCATGCAGAACATGCAGGGGTGAGTGAAATAGCTTGGGACTGCTTGGGACCGTTGTTCTGGTACTGAGTGAGCCAAAAATAATAATGATTTTCTTCGGGACCCAGTGGTCTTAGAGTTACCTCTATGGTTCAAATGGAACGGTTGCCGAAGAAAACTGGTTGCCGACAATACTCGCTCTCACAGTTTTTGACAATTCTTTCGACTGAAATTGTTGAGCAGCTGGCAGCAAAAGATTGTAAACAAACCAATACTGCATATGTGTGCGTTCCTTAGAGAAAAAGGCTATAGAAAGATAGTCGCTGCTTAGGTTGCCGAGAATACGTAAATTCCCCTATACAAACTTTACCACCTCTTCTTGCATCTTACAAATAAAATTATCATTATAGTCTCCCATTGCTTCATAATACCGAAAAATAGCATTTTAGCTGTAATGAGCAATTGCAAGCCTGCTCAAAAAAATCCCACCGACCTCGGCTGGGATTGATCCCAGACCCATTTGGGTGAGAAAGCAGTCACGCTTACCACTACATCACCGGCACCGGCCAATCGGAAGATCAGCCAACAAACCATTACATCAACCTCTATGATTACATTTTACGGATGCAATTTTTCTCCTGCGTGGCACACTTTGTTTAAGCCTGGTACGCAGCTGAAAAGTAATGACGTTTTTATGTGCTACCAGATAGGATACGGAATGCAAAAGAAATTACTTTTCCTCAGCATTTCTTGACCCAGTACGCAGTTCAAAAGAAATCGGTAAAGGAAAGATCGATTACATTAGTATCGTGATATGATTTTACAATTTGACGACATCTCCCTATAATCTCAAAATTTAGCAGACTATAGCTGTCAAATTTTCTTTTGGGAAAAATCCTCAAAAATTACTTTTCCGTTTTCTTTTCAGCTGCGTACCAGGCTTTACCTTTCATACGCGCCACTTAAAGTCTGGAATGCGCAAAAGTTGGTCAACTTCAAATTGGTGTATTTCTGTTAAAAATGCATAAAAAACCTGAAATCAAGAGCCACTTGTGAAAAGGACATACAAGCTTTTTGTAAACAATCCTTTGTAGGCCCTTTTCTCGCCAACCGAGGGTCACCCACGCAAACTAACAACATCATCGGGAAGGGTAAAGTTGTTCCTACCCGATGATGACGATGGTTTGCGTTGGTGTCATATGGGTGGCGAGAAAATGGCATAAGAAGGTTTGTTTACAAAAAGCTTGTATGCCCTTTTCACATGTTGTTCTTGAAATGCTGCATTTGGAAGTTGAGTGTATATACACGGTAAGAAAAAAGTACCCAAAATTGAGTTCCTTTCACTCATCACGTGGCTTCCGTGGGGCTAGGTAAAATTAAGTTAAAGAAGAAAACTCAATTTTGAGTAATCCTGATCATGATGACCAAGTTGACAAAAAAATAATAAAACGGAGCAGACTGGAACCGAACCATGGACGTTGAGATTACGGGGCCCGTGTGTTGACCACTCGTCTATCAACGCTTGTGAAAAGGAACTGGTTAAAGGCGCATAAGAGCAACCTCAATGAAAATAAACTTATATTTGAGTTCATTTATTATTACTCAATAGTTGAGTAAATTTTAACCAACGCCGCTTTTCTGATTCACTCAACGGCGGACCTCAAATGATAGAACCCAACGTTGAGTTTTTTTAACTTAATTTTGAGTATTTTTGCTTACCGTGTACAATGGTTGCTATGATGACTTGTCAAAATTTTGCTCGCGCAGCAAGAGAATCCGACGTTCTCACACGCCAAAAAACGTGTTAAAAGTGTTCGGGGAGCGTCTGTCGACCGTCAGGAAGCCTGGAAGCGGCGGCGATTGTAATCCGGACGTGGCAGCGACGACGAAGAAGGTGGCGGTGAAATATAAGCGGAATCCTAACCTCTCCATCCGGGACGTCGCTGCTCAATGTCTCCCAATGACAATGCCGGATTGTCAACGTTTAAGAAGGTGAAGGTGGCGAACCGAGATTACAAACAAAACACGTCGGCAAAGCAGTGGTCCCGAAAGCTGTATACGAATCTGCTCACAAAGTTCGACTGTATCGTCATGGACGATGAAACTTTTTTGAAGGCGGATTTCAAGCAGCTTCCGGGACAGGAGTTTATACAGCATCAGGAAAAGGGAAGGTGGCTGGAATTTTCAAAACCATCAAACTATCGACGTTCCCGAAAAAATATCTCGTCTGGCAGGCCATATGCACGTGTGCTCTAAAAAGCGGCATTTTCATTACTACGGGAACCATCAATCAAGAGATCTACGTCCAGGAGTGCCTAGAAAAGCAGCTGCTACCATTGACGAGTGCACGGATGGATTTTAGTTCACTCACTAGACAAAAAGTGACACAACAGCGGGGCCCTGTTTACTAAAAATGAACACATATGTGTTCATTTTTAGTAAACAGGGCCCCGCTGTTGTGTCACTTTTTGTCGAGTGAGTGAACTCAAATCCATCCGTGCACTCGTCAATTCCTAAAGCAACATAATACACTATAAGAAAAAGGCAATCGAGTGGTACGATGCGAACAACGTGGTAGTGGTACCCAAACACCACAACCCTCCCAACAGCCTAGACCAACCGGTGAAAACTAACGATTTTAAATTCGCTCACTACTTGACTAGTCTATTGGTCCCAAGCAAACGATTAACGTATCCCATTCTATTCGAAATTCTCGTACTACACTATGTTTGTTTTGATTCACTATGAAAGTTTGACAGATAAAATTAAGGGTCGATTAGCTTGGGACCGAAGAGAGTACTAGAGCTGAGCGAACAAGTTGAGCACGTTTCTTCGGGACCTACTAGTCTTAGAGTTACCTCTATGCTAGAACTTCGCCCTATCGAACGGTATTGGGCCTTGGTCAAACCTCGGGTCAAACGGAATCTAAAAAAAACTATTAAATCCATGGAACACGAGCAGCAGTTTAAATCTAGCTGGCGTTTGGCGGCGAATAAGGTCTATGAGACCACTGTGCAAAATTTAATGGAAGGGGTTAAGCGGAAGGCACGGCAGTTCGGATTTGGCAAACCAAAAGAATAAACGAACATTTTTTCTTTTACATATATGAATTGAACTACCAAAAGAAAAATAAGAAGATTGTTGTGATATCAATTGGCGTTGACGGCGACTCTGTAGTTCTTTACTCCTATGAGAAAATCCATAAGCAAATGTCAGACTGTGCGTGAAACATGGCGGACTTCGTACTATCCTTTCACTCCACCGAAAATTCCCATAAGAAACTGTCTAAATTTGCTGGAAGCGCAAATTTTTCGACGGCGCCGTCGACGCCAATTTCGACTGAAAGAAACGATTTTGTGTCGACCAATTTTTGCCCGTTCCAGTCTTTACATGAGAGGAAGCGAAGATAATGTTAGTCTCCCACCACGAGTTCGGATTGACGGTGACGAAATCGAAGTGGTAGACGAGTTCGACTATCTGCGCTCACTGGTGACCGCCGAGAGTAACCCAAAGACGCATTATGGCAGGAAATCGTGCTTAGTTTGGACTCCGAAGGAAGCTCCGGTTGATTAAAATTCGCTGCACCACGAAGTTGACTATCTACAAGACGCTGATAATACAGGTAGTCCTCTACGAACACGAGACATGGACTATGATTGTGGAGGACCAACGGAAGGCGTTACTTACCATGCAACCGTGCCATAGTGGGGCAGAGAACCCGGTAGCGTGGCCAAAACCTCTAGCGCCGTGGGTATGCAGTCTTCGACAAAGTTGCTCGGTTTATTAAGGGCCAATACATAATATATAGAAACGTCAAAGTGATCCGATGTCAAGTAGTTCGCGGAAATCATAATATTCAAATAAATCGTTAAACGCGTGAGCGATGATCCAGAATGAAGTGTTTCGTCTGTTTGTGTGTGGTCGTATCACTATCAATACCCTTGCTTTCATTTGGGAACGTTCAAAATCGAACAGATCGTCATCAATCTGCGGTGTATAATTCATGCATGGTGACCTAACAACTGCATCTCGATATTAACATATATTCGAGAAAGTAAGTGGAGGTGGATTGACCACACGCTACGAAGGGGCAGATACGAAATCTTCAAGCAAGCGCTGGATTGAAACCCGGCAGTACATCGCAGCAGAGAAAGTCCCAGGTGCTCGTGGCGGCGAAGCCTCAACCAGGAAATCAAGCAAGTCGACAGGGCCCAGCAGGCACACAGCAGGAACGTTCGGACAGATTCCAACACTCTGCTAATATCAACTAGCTGAATCGATTATATTTGCTGGTAATGAATCATCCAATCTGATATCGATACGTAAACTCTTGCACTTGCTGTTGCCCTACTAAAACTGTACGATGAAACAGAAATCGACACTAGTGTTCTTTGCATTTCAAAAACAGAAAAGAGCTTAGCGTAAATCCTGGGACGCATTCTCCATATGCCTACGAATAAAAGCTGTATTGTTTTACAATGAGCCCGTTGCCATGCAGTTGATTTACGCCTATTTACAATGGGGTCTCTTTCACTCACACACTTCTTTTCCATTAACATAATGTCCATCGAACAATGACCTAAATTATTTCTTCCTACACTTCTTGCTCTCTGCTTTTGCTGAATGCTTTCTCTCTACCGAGAAACTTATTGCTTCCATTCTACAACAGCTAATTTGTAGAACACGAATGCTGCTTTAAATAAGAATAAATATATCCGTACTATTACTTACTAGAACTATTAAAACAATCAAGAAAACACGTCAAATTACCTTAGGAAATAGATTTTATGCTTACGAACCTTAGGCATACGCGGTAGGTACATGGGCAAAAGTGAGAATTCTACGCGGAAATTAGAATAATTGGATGGGTAGGTACTGAATGAGAATCGAAAAAAGAAACAAACCATCCTAAATCATACCTACTAAGCCGAAAAGGGGGAGACCCATTTGAACTTATCCTTCGGCGGTACCTCGTGGTGCTCCGGACCTCCCGGCAGTTCGTAGTGGTAGAAGTTGCACTCGACCTTGTTCATGCAGTGCTTCCCGAAGCGGCACAACTTTGGATGGTAGTAGGGACACAGACCGTTGGTACATCCCGGGTAGAACTTGCACAGCGACGGCAGCGGCTTGGCTGTAATGGTTTTGTAGTTCTGCACGGGGACTACCGAAGACGCTGCAAAAAGGGTGAAATCGTTTTATTATTCGCTCATCGAACCGAACTGGAGACATCCTAATCTCAAGATACCAAGAAATGCACAGAGCTCTGATCGAATAAAACCAGACGCTACGAGCCCATTAGTTGTAACTCACCCAACGGAGGCGCCGTAGGCACATGCGATGACAGCGGTTTGCTGTGCATGTAGTTGCAATCCATCCGGTGGCAGGTTTTGTCGTACTTGCACATCGGATGCAGATAGAGACACTTGTCACCGAACTTGCACGCCGGGAACGCCTTGCAGTTGGTGCTCGGGTGGAGAAACTCACACGAATCACCCTGCCGGCACAGCGGGAAGTACTTGCAACGTTCCTTGATGAGGGCTTTGCTCTTCGACAGGCCATCCGAGGGTACGGACACCGAACTGAGCACTGGAAAGATAAAATGAAACCATCAATTGTCTTGGTTGAAAGAGCCACAAGCCTACACAGGTACTCACATTGCGGAATATCGTCAAACTTCCGGCTGGATTCTAGCTTCTTGATTTTCTTGGTGGGCGACTTGATGTCGCCATTACCAGGTGCACTACCGCTTCCGATAGCCTTCCTTCGATCATCATCAGCGGTTCGCCGTTCGCTTTCCCGATCCCTACGCTGGTCCTTTCGTCCGTCCTCGTCCAAAGCGCTAGTAGCAATTCGTTCGATTGACTTCCGTTCCCTGTGATCCCGATCCCGGTGGTGATTGTACTCGCCATCCGTATCATCAGCTTCGTCATCCGTAAGCGCAAATTGAATCGGCGAGACGCGTTTCCTCTTGCGGGACGACGAATTCGGTTCGATCTTCTCGTAGTCTGACTTGGACATGTAGATCGGTGAAGACGAAACGCTGTCGTCCACCAGAAGTTCTTTTGTTCGCTGCAGAAGTAGCTCGTTCAAATCGCTTGGCGAAGATTTCCGATTGGCGACATTTGCAGAGCGCTTCTCCCGTTTGCTCGGAGACTTTTTCGACGATTTAGTACGCTTCTCAGGAGACTTGGAACTTTCCCGCTTGTGGCTGCCCTCCTTCGACGGTATTTTGATACTGAACCGTTCTTTTCGTCGTATAAGCGCTGCCTGAAGAGCGCGTTCATCGTCGTCGCGGTCCCGTGGGGGCGTTGTGCTGGGATCGCTTTGGGTCACCTTGAGACCGATCCTATCTTTGATGGAGCTTTTCGACTTGCTGCTTGGGGGAGGCGGTGTGTGACTGGGGGAAGCTCGAGAAGACTTTTTGTACGCACCATCGAGGGTGACAACGAATTTAGGGTTCTTAGCGGGATCTTTCACCTCAAACTCGTCTCCTGATGGATCGAGATGCGTGTTGTCGGCCAGTTTCGTTGAAGGAACATAAACGTAGCCATCACTATCGGTATCAGAAGCGACAGAAGTGGCTACAGCAACCGGTTCCGGGATGTACTCATCGTTGCAATTTAGAATTTGCTCAAGTTCATCGTCGACGTCGTCATCCCGAAGAACATGCTCGACAATGTCCTCTTCATCGTCATCATCTTCGAACTCATAACGAACGTCCACCGGGGGAGTTGCTTCGGCTTTGGCGCCAGGAATTTCTATCAGCATTCGTCGGTGCCGGGTAGAACTTTCCTCACGATTACTAATCGTCTTCTTTAGATTCGCCGCAGTTGAGCGTTGCGCTTCGGCCATCGCTTTCAGTAGCAGATTTTTACTGGGCTGCTTATTTTTCGGAACCTGAGGGCGAGGTTGAATTTTTATTACACTAGGAATGGGCACTTCCAGCTCATCCTCCTCGTTATATTCCGGTTTCGCTGGAAGCACAATGACCCTGGATCCAATTCGTGTGCGAATATCGGTTCCATTATTGACTTTCCCGGATGAGCGATCTCGATTCCTCTCCCTTTCTCGATCACGATCACGTCCTCGTTCGCGACTTCTAGTTCGGTCACGTTCCCTTTCTCTTTCCCGTTCACGATCCCGTCTGCTACGTGACCGCTCTCGACTATTTTCCCTTCGAAGCGAACGAACTGGTGGAGAACGCCTTCGTTCTCTTTCCCGGCTTCTACTTCTGTTAACTCTAGACCTAGCTTCCCGAGCTTTGGCCTGTTCTTCCATCTCCTTCCGACGGAATACTGGCACATATAGTTCACGTTCTTCCCTTCTGTGTGCCGAAAGACTGATTATGTTGGATTTATTTACCGGAGCTTCTTTCGTCGGTTCCGTGACCACCTTTGGCTCCGGGCGAGTTCCCAATCGTTCCATTATGGACTTTTTCTTCGGCGTGGTCGTCGCGACCACTAGGGGCGGCGGCGGCGGAGTATTACTCCGCTCCTCTTCCTCTTCTTGACTCTTTTCCACCTCAACTGGAGCTTTTCGCTTCTCTTTTTTCTTCGCTACTGCTGCTGCCGAGCCACCATCTTCAATATTCTCCAAATCGTCATCATTTGCTTTGATGTTCAGAAAATCTTCATCCTCCGACTCGTCCGAACCCATTGATCTCAGCTGCTTCTTTGCTTGCTTGATTTTCTGCTGTATCTCCTCCAGTTCTGATAGTTCCTTCTGATGCTTCGTCATCGCACTTTGGCCTGCTATTTCTGATATCGTCGGAATATCAAACTCGTTCCCCGTTCTGGAACTGGAATTGTCCTGCAAAGGTGGGGTCATCACCCGTGGATCCTTCTTCGGAGCGTTCCCTTCAACATCCATAGTCTTCTTAGCATTCTGAATAAACTGATTGGCGAACACGTCCTGAATCGAGCTGACCCCGCCGAGCTGCGCCGGATGTGGAGGTGTGTGCTGCTCTTCCTCTGCTCCCTCTCCCTTCTCTTTGGGCTCCGGAGTCTTGTCTTTCTTCTTGGACTTTTTATCTTTTTTCTTTTCCTTTTTATCTTTCTGTTCACTAGCCTTCCGTTTCCCAGCTGGCTCCTTGCCACCCTTTCCAGCAGTACCAGCCGCCGCCGGAAGTGTCACCTCCTCCAGCTTCTGCAGCACCTGATGTAACCAGTTGACAAACACTTCCGTCTGGGCACCCAAAAACAGCGTCAAATCATCAATCATCTGCTGCCGGGAACGCTTGTTCGCTACCATGATCATCACATAGTCCGGAAGTTCATCGTCAATATATCCACTAGCAGATCCGGTCCCCAACTCGATGAGTTTCGCCTTTACAGCGCTCTGTTAAAAACGGTACCATGGCAAAAAAAAACAGAAAATACATCAGCCACTGTCCGCCATCAACAAACCCCGTTTCGGCCAAAGAAAAAAAAAACGAAAAGAAAATCTTACCCTCATCTTTTGGCCGATTTCCGACCCGAGAGAATCCATTTTTCCGCCGCAAAGCTTTGCACCGCACACGAAATTACTCGAATTTTCAATCCAGTGTAACTGCCGAGCGAATTTGGAAGGAAATTGATTCAATTTTCTGCTGCTGTAACAACTTTTTGCGTGAAAAACTTTTCCTTTTCACCTCTCTTTTTACCAGTCTGACGTTTATTTATCTTCCCGCAGCACTTTCACCTTCGGCTACACGAAAAGCGAGACACTCCGCGAGTTGCACGAAAAAACAGCGCGAAAATTGGAAACGAAAACATGTGTCAACAGGGGTGTGCATTAGAGTAAGTGAGCCAGCTATTGACGAGTGCACGGATGGATTTGAGTTCACTCACTCGACAAAAAGTGACACAACAGCGGGGCCCTGTTTACTAAAAATGAACACATGAATAATGCTCGCGTAACATTTGAAAAGGGCCTATCAACTTTTGTAAATAATTTGCTAGGTCCTTTTCACGAGAACCGAAGTACGCCCACGCAAACCAAGAGCACTATGGGGAAGGGGAGAATTTCCTCTGCCCGATGGTGTTGTTGGTTTGCGTGAGCGTATTCGGTTCGCGCGAAAAAGGCTTAACAAGTTTTGGGTACATAAGTTGATAGACCCGTTTCAAAAGTTACGTGAGTATTATTCATGTGCTCATTTTTAGTAAATAGGGCCCCGCTGTTGTGTCACTTTTTGTCGAGTGAGTGAACTTAAATCCATCCGTGCACTCGTCTATGGCACTAGTGCTCAAACTTTTGGCCCTACACGGTGTTTGGTGAATACCGTAGAGCAACCCCTTTAGTTTGAATAGACCACTTTGTCAAGCAGTTTTGGCGTGACTTTCTACCAGCGATTCCACAAAACTGGACCAACTAATTTCTATTATTTTATGAAACGCACAAATGATGGCTACTTTTCTCGTGGTTCTAGAAGAAAAAATCTCATAATAATGTTTTATTTCGAAGTTCAAGTGGTAGTAAACGTCATTTTAAGTGCTCGAATGAAGTGGTTAATTGGGTTCTTGAGGGGTATTGAGGTAATTAATCATATTATCGAGCAGTTTTGGAACGACCCTCTACCAGCGCTTTTACGGAAATGAAACAATAAATTCCAGATTTTTCAAGCATATTACAAATAAGACCCTATTTTCTCTAGGTTGTAGAAGAAAAAATATCATAATATTGTTCCACGTTAAAGTTCGAGTGGTAGGAAACGTAATTCAAAATGCTTGAACGATGTGATCCATTGCGAGGGTAATTGCATATTCGTAATATGCATTACAAATGGAATCGAAATCCAAAATTTCATCAAGTTTGGAGCACTGGAACTATTTTAAATAAGTGTGATTACATTAGCAAAAATCACCATCTTAGCGCCCCTCGATGGTACCATAGAGGTAACTCTAAGACCACTGGGTCCCGAAGAAAATCATTATTATTTTTGGCTCACTCAGTACCAGAACAACGGTCCCAAGCAGTCCCAAGCTATTTCACTCACCCCTGCATGTTCTGCATGAATCCACACACCCCTGATGTTATCTGTCAAACTTTCATAGCGAATCAAAACAAACAGAGTGTAGGAATAGAATTTCAACTAGAATAGGGTACGTTAATCGTTTGCTTGGGACCAATAGGCTACTAAAGTGGTGAGCCAGTTTAAAATCGTTAGTTTCGTATTGATTGTTGATGGTACTTCGTATGGGAACGAACTGTCAGTTTGTTAGTTTAGTTTCAAACAGTGAAGTGATTATTTTGCTTTAAATCTTGATTTAAAAATTGAGATATAAGTAAATGGGAACGAAAAAAATATCGTTGTGCTCAGAAAACGACGCCCTTTCAGATGATGTTTAAAAACCGATATATTTTTCAAAATTAAAGAACCCCATTGGGTTCTTTAATACCCCGTTCACATTACAACGTATATCTCGTGAGAACTCATACATCTGGTTTTCACTGGAAATCCTATGTATGAGTGCTCATTGCAAGACAGCCTATATTACGTGATATAAGCTGTAATGTGAACGGGGTATAAGCATAGAGGTAACTCTAAGACCACTGGGTCCCGAAGAAAATCATTATTATTTTTGGCTCACTCAGTACCAGAACAACGGTCCCAAGCAGTCCCAAGCTATTTCACTCACCCCTGCATTTTCTGCATGAATCCACACACCCCTGATGTTATCTGTCAAACTTTCATAGCGAATCAAAACAAACATAGTGTAGGAATAGAATTTCAACTAGAATAGGGTACGTTAATCGTTTGCTTGGGACCAATAGGCTACTAAAGTGGTGAGCCAATTTAAAATCGTTAGTTTCGTATTGATTGTTGGTATAACCAAAGATGAATACTAAGATGAAACGGTCGGAAGAAAAACTTTCTATTTTAGTGTCTTCTTTCACGGTCCCTTTCATCCAATGAGAACCCCCCCCTGCCCCTCAGAAGAGATGAAATTTTGCGCTCATTTTTATGAAAACAATCCCACCAAAATCAGAGATGTCCCATTTTTTAATTACTCGATTAACAACTAATCGATTATTTTTTGTTCGCTGTGCTGCCATTTTTCCACCAATGAGAGTGCAGCACATGTTTGAAACGATCGGTGATGATCCTGTGGAGATGTTAATGCTTATATCGGCATGATCTAACCGATTATAAATAGTTTACTTTTCGGTTCGTTAATCGATTAAACGATTATTCGAATGAAAATCGGACATCACTAGATGAATGTGAAACGTCATTTCAAATATAAGGCCGTTCATAAATAATGATACAATTTGAAAGGGACCGGGGCTAATCACAAATTACGTCTCCATGGTAACTGAAATAAACACGAGTGTTCACCGGTTGGTAATAGTCTCAAAAATGTAATAGAGGTCAAAAGGGTATCAATTTTCCTCATTGGGTTACAAATGCCGAGAATCCCACCACGCATGCTATCACGGGTTATTAAATATATAGGCGTAAACTTGAAGAACTACAATGGGAAACATTTGCTGCGTCGCGGCCATCGGTCTTCTCGTTCATTTGCCGGCAGATTGCTTCTTCCGATGAAATGCCGAATATGTCGATAAATAATATAAACATTGCCATCTGTCACCTGGTGTGTATCGAACTCTCTTTAACCAGCGATGCAAATAGATAACAAGGAGATTATAAATGTGCATCGATGGCAATCTTTGTTGTTCTTTGTCAAAGTTCAAAGTTACGATGATATCAGTATTTTAATATTTATTGATGAATATTTGTAAAGAATACTAAAGTCCATGTGACATATCGAAATTTAAAGAAATTTAGTATGGCACCTTTAAAGATTACTATCATATGACCGATGAAGAAATAATCTTAAATGTAAGTATCGATCAATAAAGATTTTTAAATGTGTACATCGAAATCATAGAAAATATAAAGTAAAGAATATGCGACATTAATCTTTATTTCTGTATAAAGAACTTTGAAGAAGTTTCACGAACGGTTGGTCGGGTTATTATAACATTCAAGCTGAACATTGCATTAGGTCCTAAGTAACCGAGGGGAGCGACACATCTAAATCTAAATATAAGATGCTCAAAAAATTTTGCACTAGCGAATAAATCTTCTTTCAGTTCCCACATCTACTTGCATCGCGCACAGCCCAGTGACAGGCGCATAGGCAACATGTTATACCATGACAGCGGGCCCAGCACAGCAAAATTAACGTTTGGAGACCGGGACATGCTGCCTACTGTCAAAAGCTGCTGTTGGTATAGGCCTTGTCACTGGCCTGATCGCGCATCATCTTTTTGCAGGAAATCTTCAGATTCTGTGTGCTGAAAATACCTGTGAATGTCTTCACATGGCCGTGGGGATGCAAAGAGAAAGTTGACGAAGAGAATCTGTCAATGCTACTTAGGACCTAATGCAATGTTCAGCTTGCATTGACTCTGCACAGAAACAAAATCCATTAGCTAAAATACTATATTGATGGTTTAAATTAAATACGCCCACCAATAGATTTTTGCAGAAACGAAATTCATTTAATTCTACCATTTTTTCTATCAAAACTACTATGCCGTTTGACTAAACAAAGTAGTTTTGACAGAATGGTAGTAAATTTGATTATATTTATAGTAAACTATACTGAAATCATGGTAAATTTAACGGTATTAAGCGTAGTTATACCAACAATCAATACGAAACTAACGATTTTAAATTGGCTCACCACTTTAGTAGCCTATTGGTCCCAAGCAAACGATTAACGTACCCTATTCTAGTTGAAATTCTATTACTACACTATGTTTGTTTTGAATCGCTATGAAAGTTTGACAGATAACATTAGGGGTGTGTGGATTCATGCAGAACATGCAGGGGTGAGTGAAATAGCTTGGGACTGCTTGGGACCGTTGTTCTGGTACTGAGTGAGCCAAAAATAATAATGATTTTCTTCGGGACCCAGTGGTCTTAGAGTTACCTCTACACACTAAGATTTTTTTTACAGTTTACTGTAATTTTTTACCGAATATGGAACAGCAGAACGTTCGGTAATCGGTTCGGTAATTTATTGTTGTTTTACCGTACATTCAGTAAATTTATCTTTCCGCTTGAACTGTCAAAATTTACCGAATTCCGCATTGTAAATTTTGCTGAATAATTGGTAATGTTTACAATACCGTTCCGTAACGTAATGTTAACGTCACCGAACGTTTTGATTTTTACAGTTTTTTTGTGTTTTTGATAATAAAATATATCGAATGATTATTTTACTCAGAAAAATAATTTATTTTCAATTGAATTCAGCTGAGAACCCGGACAAAGTTATCGACGGTAAACTTGGTCTGATGCAAACATGCGCACAATTTGGTTTTTTTCTTTCAGCTGAGGAGGACATTATGTTGCTTATTCAGGTAGCATCAATAACTGGAAGCGGTTCGCCTAAATGAGAATTAGTAGTGAAATAATGTTCCGTTCAGTGTAGATTATACGGAAAATGTAAAAAAAAAGTTAAGTACTTACTATTCACACCGGAGAACCGGACAACGCTCAACCTAAATGGCCGCATTGTTGGATGATGACAGCTCGGTTGACAGTAAAGAATTTGCAAACTTTTTACAGTTTTGCAGCATTGAAGGCGTTTACAGTTTCGATCAGCAATTTTTATTTACAGTTTTCGGTAAACTTCTGTAAATTACAGAAATTCATTATTTTTCATTACGGAAAGATGGTAAAACAACACATTCTACAAAACTTTCGGTAAAACATAAATTTTACAGAACGAATGCAGTAAAAAAAAGTACCGAACAAAATTTAAGAATTTTGGTGTGTATGGTTATACTGAAAATAAGTGTTTTCTGCAAAATAGTATTCCTAACTATTATCTTTGTTTCAGTGTGCAGAGTCAATGCAAGCTGAACATTGCATTAGGTCCTAAGTAACATTGACAGATTCTCTTCGTCGACTTTCTCTTTGTATTCCCACGGCCATGTAAATATATTTTCAGGTATTTTCGGCACACATATCGTTAAAAGAAGCTTTTATCTAGAATCTAATACGACAAACACAACAAGAAACAGTTATGTGCTCAAGTTATTAACAAAGAGAAAGCCGACGAAGAGAATAGTTCAATGTTGCTTAGGACCTAATGCAATGTTCAGCTTGTAATGAACAAAGCTAATGTGGCACAGACCTGTTTATATTTTACCCAAAATCGTTTATTATTTTGGTTAGAAAAGTGACAGCTTGCATCGAATCGATCGAATCACACACGCGTGTTGTTTACGTTTCTTTTATAACAACATTCCACCAGCCAAGTCCAGCACCACCAGTGCTACATATAAGATTTTTTTTCTAGTTTTATCGATACAAATTCTTCGCAGAAACGCCAATAGCTTACCCAAAATGCGCTACGGACAGCTAGTAATGGGCCCTGCTGGAAGCGGAAAGGTAAGAATCACGGAGAAGTTATAATTGGAAGCGCAATTTATAGTTATATTTTCACAGTCCACATATTGCGCCACAATGCAACGGTATGGCTACGACGACAATCGCCTGATCAAGGTGGTCAACCTGGACCCGGCAGCCGAAACGTTCGAATATCAACCGTTCATCGATATTCGGGACCTCATCCACTTAGACGATGCTATGGAAGACGAGGAGTTGCACTATGGACCGAACGGTGGGTTGGTGTTTTGCTTTGAATACTTGTTGGAGAATTCCGATTGGTTGAGGAACCAGTTGTATGGGGTAGGCGATGACGATGAAGAGCAAGGAACTGATGGAGTGGATGAGCCGGATGACGATTACATTTTGTTCGACATGCCCGGGCAGATTGAGCTGTATACGCACCTGAAGGCGGGCCAGCAGTTGGCCAAATTGTTGGAATCGTGGAACTTTCGATTGTGCTCGGTATTCCTGGTGGATTCGCAGTTTATGATTGATGGAGCAAAATTTCTGTCCGGGACGATGGCAGCACTCAGCGTGATGGTCAATATGGAATTGCCTCATGTGAATATACTGAGTAAAATGGATCTGCTGAGTAAGACCAGTAAGGGGCAGTTGGATAAATATCTGGAGCCGGATCCGCAGGCACTGCTCGGAGAAGTCACGGGCGAATCTTCGTGGGGTCGAAAGTACAGGAAACTTTCGGAGACGATAGGAATGCTGATCGAAGATTTTAGCTTGGTCCGGTTTACGCCGTTGAACATCAATGACGAGGAGAATATTGCCGATTTGTTGATGATGATTGACAATGCCATTCAGTACGGTGAGGAAGCCGACGTTAAAACAAAGGATTTCGATCCTCCGGAGCCGGACGATGATAACGATGAAGAGCAATATCATGATTAGGGAATAAAGTTCTTTCGTAAATAATCGTAGAATGTTGATTTTCACTCGCAATTTCCATGTAATTGCCTCTTCTTATGTGATTCGATAGGTAGGTACTGGATTACTTTAAAGAAATATTAAATCATATGTACAACGAAGTAGTGTTTCACTGGATCGTCGCTTTGCGTAGCGGAAAGCTTTCGTACTGTTCAATAAATATAATTTTTTAAACATGTTACATCGGACTTCCTCGTCGTCAAAACAAATCCTCCAACGAGGTGGCTCCTCCTGAGCTACTGCTTCCGCCGCCTCCTGCGGAGCTCGAAGACCCTCCACCCGTTGTCGATGTTGTCGAACCGGAACTGCTTGAATTGTTGGAGGAATCGTCTGAAGGATTTCCGCTATCATCCGGTTTACTCTCAAGGGAGAAGGGTGGTATGCGGCAATCGAACATGTGTCCATCTTCCCGCTCCATTCGGAAGGTACCCCACATATGACCACTGGGAGCCTGCAGGCTCACGTGGGAGCTGTACTGAAAAGCCGGTAGGCGTGGACTGAGCACGGGTTCCTGACCGACAACCCCTCGACCACGGACGGTTTCTAATGTTCCCGAGAGGGAAAAGATTCTCCAGTGTCGTTCGCGGAGCTGCACACTCAGCTCTCCGAGATTTTCCAGACGGATGCAATAGCGCCACTAAATTGAACAATAATGGATTAAGGAATACACCCTACACGCTTTGCACATATCTTAATAACGATACGCTTTTAAAGCAAATTAAATATCGTAAATGATTTAGATTTAGTTGGCAAATACTTACCCAGTACACGGAAGCGGCTGGCGTCTCGCGGCATCCCATGTAGAAAGGAATCACCGTTACTCGAATACCTTCGGTCGTTTCCTTGTGCACATCGGAAAGTTCCAGCCAGGGATGATTCTTCTTCTGCCATGCCCGGAGCGTGTCCTGCGCACTGAACGGGGGATCCTTATCCGGTTGATGCGCCAAAAACTTATCAAACAACTCGTGTTGCAATGGATGCTGCTCTCCGGAACTGTACGGCAAGATGTCCTCATGGGCCACGTAGTCTAACCCCGGGATGGCATACAAACTGCGGCTGGATTCTTGATTACCCAGGAATGTTACAGCCTCCGTCTGGGCTCGTATGTACGGACAATCGCGTTGATCGATCAAAACCTGATAGAAGGTGTGAGTCTTTTTCTGTACCTCCTTGGCGGTATTTGGAGGTGTTGACGAGTCACTACCGGCCGGTGCAACGGTTGAGTCGCTCTGCACACTTTTGTTCTGCGATGGTAAATCCCGATCGTACACTCGAGCCAACCATGGGAATAAGATCACCCCACGGTAACCGAATACGCGGTGCAGGAATAGCTGCCCGGTTTCATACTTTCCCTGCGCCTTTGGAAGCTCCAATTTACCCACCTCTGCCAGACTAAAATGAAAACAAATCGCAATAAAATTATATAATCTACTACGCGGAATTTGTTTTCAAGCTCGTAATATTTCTCAGCTAATCGGATGCAATCTCCGGTGTTTGTATTTGGAAGCAATTGATGCGAATTTCAATTAATAGCCCGGTTTAAAAATAATTGCTAGGCAAAGGGCATCAAATTCCTCCACTTATAAGATTTACCAGGAACCAGCTACTTACCGAGTGTTGTGTTGATCGGTCACGGAAAAGTAGCGAACCGAAAGCTGGAAGCAAACCGGGCGCAATTGTCGAAATACCCTTGACGTAACGTAGAAACCCATCGTCGTTGTCCGCTGTCGTGCTATTCGTTTTCGGTTTCGTCCGGAATGTTGAATAAATGAGAATAAATTCAACCCTTGTAAGCTGTTTGGTTTATTGTCGACGACGCAGCAGATACCGAATACTATTTTTTTTCCTCCTGTTCGAATGTCACAATTTTGACGCAAACTGTCACTCTGATGACGGGGGGCATTCCATGGATTTTTAGATTTGAACATGAAACCAAGATCCCTCAAGGCTCAGGTCTTGCGTATTGCACAGTTTGTGGGGAGTAGGAAGGTAGAAAAACTCGTGAAAGCCAATACCTAATTAATAAAAGGGACAAAACTCGACTGTGCTTCGAAGCTAGGGGCACGCAATAACCTTTAACTTAGACGCAGCCAACGGCTGTAATTAAATTAATTCCAGTAACTACTGTTTTAATTACATTAATTACACAGTGTAGAACATTAACTACTTTTTAAGTCCATCAATTACAGTCGAAATTTCGACTGTATCGACAATTCAACAAGACGACCAAGTGGCGAGCTGGAAGCGGAAGAAAAGCGAAGACGACCGAGCCCGTGAACGCAAGGAAGGTGAGGGATTATTTCAAGCGCAATCCGAAGCTTTCGATTCGGAACGTAGCCACGAAGGTCAATTCTTCCGTCTGGTTCGCCCAGCAGACAATGAAGCGGGCCGGACTTCATGTATTCAAGGTAAGGAAGGCGCCTAACCGAATCGATAAACATAAAGGGTGATACGGACAAAATTTGGTCAATATAAACTTGACGTATTTCTTTCAATTTTGCATTTAAAAAACCTGAACACCCCTCATTTTGAAGGAGTGTGTGCAGAATGTTGCTCCTATTTTGATTTTGGAATTCACTCTTCAGTTGTCAAAATGCCGTCCAAGCAAGAAGAGCAGCGTATCAAAATTTTGCTCGCGCATCGCGAAAATCCGAGCTACTCGCACGCAAAGTTGGCAAAATCGCTAAAAGTTGCCAAATCAACCGTTACAAATGTAATTAAAGTGTTTGGGGAACGTTTGTCGACAGCCAGGAAGTCTGGATCGGGGTGAAATCGAAAACCGGAAGCCGCTGAGACGACAAAGAGAGTTGCCGGTAGTTTCAAGCGAAACCCTAACCTCTCTCTCCGAGATGCCGCAAATAAGCTGGGTGTATCGTCTACAACCGTGCATCGAGCCAAAAAACGAGCCGGACTATCGACTTACAAGAAGGTAGTGACTCCAAATCGCGATGATAAACAAAATACGACGGCCAAAGCGCGATCCCGGAGGCTGTACACGACGATGCTGACGAAGTTTGACTGCGTGGTAATGGACGACGAAACCTACGTCAAAGCCGACTACAAGCAGCTTCCGGGACAGGAGTTTTATACGGCAAAAGGAAGGGGAAAGGTAGCAGATGTTTTCAAGCACATGAAACTGTCAAAGTTCGCAAAGAAATATCTGGTTTGGCAAGCCATCTGTACCTGTGGCTTGAAAAGCAGCATTTTCATAGCTTCCGGGACTGTCAACCAAGAAATTTACGTGAAAGAGTGTTTGAATAAACGTCTGCTGCCTTTCCTGAAGAAACACACAGCAAAAAAAGTTGTTGAATATTACATCGAAACTGCTGCAACCAGGTCAATCCATCGGTTGTGTAATATCACATTGCACGATGTACATCGATTTTGCGAACAAAATTACATCCATTGATGTAATATTGTATCTGCTTTTTGCTATTACATCATTATTTCATACATCAGCTTGAATTACGTTGATCGATATTACATTTTTTTTTGCTGTGCACGGTTGTTCCGTACTGTTTTGGCCGGATTTGGCATCTTGCCATTACGGTAAAAAGGCCATGGAGTGGTACGCCGCCAACAACGTGCAGGTGGTTCCCAAGGACAAGAACCCTCCCAACACGCCAGAGCTCCGCCCAATTGAGAAATACTGGGCTATTGTCAAGTGGAACCCAAAGAAGACCAAAAAAACTGCTAAGGGCGAGCAGCAGTTCAAGGCAAACTGGCTTTCTGCGGCGAAGAAGGTGGACAAGGTGGCTGTACAAAATCTGATGGCAGGGGTCAAGCGTAAGGCCCGGCAATTCGGATTTGGAAAAGCGGAAGCCTAACTGAATATTTTTCCTGAATTTTATACTAATTGAACTTGAAAAAGAAATTTAATTTGATTTTTTAAATAAACGATTTCACCGATTTACACGCGTTTTCCCTTGACCAAATTTTGACCGTATCACCCTTTAATATGGTTGCCAAATCCCGCGCTAGGAAGCTGTACCGCGAGTGGTTGATGCAGCCGAAATGCAGCGTAATGGACGACGAGACGTACATTAAAGCGGACGCCAAGAAGATCCCCGACCCCGACTCTTCGACAAGTCCCGCCTATATGTTCGGGAGAAGTTCCGGAAGAAGAAGGTCGACAAATTTGCCAAGAAGTACTTAAAGACTATGCTCTAAAAAAATGCAACAGACAAAAATAATCACCAAACATTCATTTTAAGTCGTATATTTTTGAAACTCTCAGGGAATAAATAAACATATATTAGCTATGTTTTTGCAAAGCTGGTTTATTCAACCTCCTCTAATAGGCTAAATGCCAGCACCTTGGGGACTTAACTCTATCCATCAAATCCTGTGCAACACTTGCGCCATCTTTCTTACACACTTTCACGTTTTTAAGACGTTCCCTGTTTTTCCGGAGCAGGCCCTTGATAATCCACCAGAATGTTTCTATTGGGCGAAGTTCTGGCGAGTTTGGCGGATTTGCCTCCTTCGACACAAAAACAACATCGTTGGCTTCATACCATTCCATCACCGGTTTCGCGTAATGGCACGATGCCAGATCCAGCCAAAACAGAGTGTCACCTTCGTGGGACCGGAGGAAGGACATCAGGCGCTTCTGTAGGCTTTCTTTTTTATGGTGACTGTCGTTATGTACGGCTTGCTGAGTTTTCCGCACCCACAGATCGCCTACCACACTAAATAGAATGTAACCATCTTCACACATCACTCTCATTCGAGCTCTCATTCCATTTTTGTTGCCAGTTGATGAGGACTTGCTGACGGGTAATTGAGAAAAAATCCGCAAAGGCTCGATCAAAAATATCGCCTTCCATAGCGCCCATTTTAGCCAACGAGTCCGCTTTCTTGTTACTCGCAGATATAGAGCAATGAGATGGGACTAGACTAAAGTGATGGTATACACACTTAGATTATTTTACCGAAATCTGTGAGATTTTACCGAAATCTCAACAGCTGAACGTTTGGTAAACAGATCGGTGATTTTTCACAGATCTCCTGTAATTTTTCACCGAATATCTGTGAAAAATTACCGGAAATCTGTGAAAAATCACCGAACTGTTTACAGAACGTTCAGCTGTTGAGGTTTCGGTAAAATTTCACAGATTTCGGAAAAATAATCTTAGTGTGTAGGCACCGACAAACCGACATGACACTTAATTCTGAATTATTCCCGAAAATCTTAAACGGCCGATTTAAAAGTGCAGTGATCCGAACTGTTAAAAACATAGGATTTTTTCTATCTATATACAAATAATTTGTCCAGAATAGATCAGACACGAACCAATTCGTAACTTTTGCATGCAGGTTCATGGCTTAGCTAAATATTTCCCGCGAACACGGAGCCAGATGTCAGTAGTGTGCTTTGGCCAGAAATTTTATTGTTTTTGCTATGGTCATTCATGTCGGTTGGTCGGTGGTATAAGAGCAGTTAGATAAAGTACTCAATTTGGGTCGAATTTCGGTCAAGAAATACGAGGAGTGCTTTATCGACCGCATTGAACGAATAGCCTCCAACGAGCTAAGGCTATCCGTAAAAATGAAATAGTGATCAGAGGGTAGTGAGGCAATTTGCTCTAAGCGTAGAATTTGGCTGCTAGTTCCGCAACGTATACAGAACAGGGTTTTTGCAGTTGATATGAAGCGCTATGAAATTCGTTGAATACTTCAAGCGTTTATGGTTGACCCATCTGTGAAAAAACTCCTATTGTTACTGACATGGTGGTACTTGTTTGCAAAAATTAAGGAAACAACCATCAACCAATGGTGATCTGGTATCCCACGGATTTCTTGCAACAAGGTCAGATCAAAATTTACAGAGGAACTATAAAAGTCTTGGTGGAAAACACGATTGGAATTGTACGAAGAAGTGCCAATCTCCAGCGTCATGTACTTTTTACCCTTCTTACAAAGAAGGGTATAGATATCACTTGAAAAACCGACTATCGATCCGAGGCCCGGAGGGCCGAGTGTCATATACCATTCGACTCAGCTTGACGAGATCGGAACATGTCTGTATGTGTGTGTGTGTATGTGTGTATGTGCGTGTGTATGTAACGAAATGAATGCGCTCACGTTTCTCAGCAACCGCTCAACCGATTTGGACAAACTCGGCGCCAAATGATAGGTCTTGGGGTCCCATTGAACGCTATTGAACGGTTTTGGAATCGGTGAACCGGTTCCGGAGATATGGCCCGAATAAGATCCGGTGAATATGAACCTTCACGCTGGATTTAACGGAAAACGTATCAAAACCATCATATACCATTCGACTCAGCTCGACGAGATAGGAACATGTGTGTGTGTGTGTGTGTGTGTGTGTGTGTGTGTGTGTGTGTGTGTGTGTGTGTGTGTGTGTGTGTGTGTGTGTGTGTGTGTGTGTGTGTGTGTGTGTGTACGTGTGTATGTGTGTATGTGTGTATGTGTGTGTATGTAACGAAATGAATGCGCTCACGTTTCTCAGCAACCGCTCAACCGATTTGGACAAACTCGAGGCCAAATGATAGGTCTTGGGGTCCCATTGAACGCTATTGAACGGTTTTGGAATCGGTGAACCGGTTCCGGAGATATGGCCGGAATAAGATCCGGTGAATATGGGCCTTCACGCTGGATTTAACGGAAAACGTATTAAAACCATCATGCGACACATCTAATTACTACAGAATTCAAAAATAAGATCAATGCAAGTCGTGTTAAGTGTTCCAGAACACATTGGACACACTTGGACATGTTCCGGGTACCCCGGGGAAGTTGCTTGAATATGAATTGAATTAAAACCCATTAAATTACATTAAAATACGATGATAAGGTGATTGGTAGCCTCACCAAATAGACTACACCCGGATATA